GGTCAGACCAAGGGTCGATCTAACCCAGTATCCTGTCTTCTGACAGTGGCCAGTGTCCCAGAGGGAATGAATAGAACAGGTAATCATCAAGTGATCCATCCCCTATCGCTCATTCCCAGCTTCTGGCAAACAGAGGGTAGGCACACCATTCCTGGCCATCCTGGCTATTAGCCATTGATGGACCTATCCTCCATGAATGTATCTAGTTTATTTACTTATTCAATAGCCCTGTGGGAGAATCAGGCTTAAGTCTTTTCTCCAATAAATCTTTATTTAAACCAAGTGGAATACCTCCAACAGGAGTGACAGAGAGCCCCACCCCCAGAAAGAACCTGGTGGTCAGGGCACTCAACATAGGATGTGGACTCAAGGCCCTTTTCCAAATTGGGTAGAGCATGAATTTGAAAACAGCTCTCCCACATCCCAGGTGAATGCCCTAACCAGTGGGCTCTTGGCTACAGTGGGGCTCGGGAGAGGGCACTTTCCTGTCCCTCCATCCCCTCTCCAGATAGGGTTGACCTGACTTAGACACCTAAATCTTGCGGGGGGGGGGGGGTGGCACCTATTTCCAGATGCCAAAGCCCCAGTTCCCTAGGCAATAGGTGTCCAAAGAGCTTGGCCCAACACCTCACTCCTCTCATCATCCTAATGTTCCACGTCTCTTGAACGCCCCACTGCAACCAGCAGACTAGGCTCCTGCAGCTTTGTGGCACTGACCCTGTCTCGTCTTAGTGGACGTTTCACACCAGTTCTTCTCCGCCCTAGCCCTAAGTACACACTAGTCCTTGACATGGACGAGTAGCTAGACATAAAGTAGACTGGTGACATCAGGCACACAGGCAAAGGCAGGGTCTTAGTCCTCCATAGATTTACTACTCACCTGCCCTCTCAAAAGGCAAAAATCATTCCCCTTCTTAGCACACCCTCACTGGCACCTAGCACCAACCCAGTTTCTAGGAGCCAGCTATTTGGGAATTAGCTGAATTCATGCCTGACACTCACAGAGCAGTTTATGCACTAAGCAACAAAGAAGAAGGTCAGGAGAGACAAAAACAGGCAGAAGGAAACAAGACACAGACAGGGGGAACATATTGTGAGTGCGTCTTATTACTTCAGTCATCGCGCCCTGCTGCCCAAGAGAGAAATGATGTCATCTTTAGTGTGTGGCACCAGCAAACAAAAATTAGCATGGATTCAAACGCAGGCAGGGCACTTTATGGCAGGCTGCTGTTGGGACAAAGTTGCTTCTATTTAATTAACTTGCCATGAGTGATTGTTTTTTAATTAAAAAGCACTCAGTTTTTGTAACACTTTACATTTGGTAAACACACTACATCAGGCCAGACATGCTGTCCAGGTATACCCAGGGCCCAGCTGCGGGGCATCTCTGCTAGCTACATCAGTTACAGAAAACTGACTGCATCACTTTTTTGCTTGGGGTGCAAGTCTCCAGCACTATATATAAAAGGTCAAATGCTACAACATTTTTGTGGGGCAAGCCAACTCATAAAAATCAGCTACACTTTTCAGCCATTTATTTTTCAGGGGAAGCCCCTCTAACTTGTAATTGGCCTTGGGGCTTACTACTCAAAACATTCCCAGTTCCAATGAGTGTAGCCCTCCCGCCCCATCTATATTTTTTCTGTGGGTTGAATGATCATGTTCTAACTACCTTATATGGGGACAAGGCACCATTTGCCTCACTGCACAGTGTCATGTGCACGCTGTGGCAGTTGCCCTCTTTGCACAAGACTTTCACAAATGAGTAACTGCTCTTTATTGGCATCTCTGTTTGGCATAGCTCCCAGATGGCCTTATCTTTTCATTGAATTCAGCATCATGTGGCTCAGGCTGCTCTACAAACACAGAAAGCTGTCACTTTGTGAGGCCTGCCCCAGAAAATAGAAGTGATTAAAAATAACCACTTATGCCGTATCCAAGTTTGAGACATGACTGGTCCCAGCTGCATATTAGGAATTTCTTCTTCAGCCTGAGATGTCTGTGCAATGCAAGGGAAACCGTCCACAGCTGAAATCTAAAGCTGTCCTGGGTGCTGTGAGGCATGGCCACAGAAAGGGTTAAACATCCTGAAAAACAAATATCCCTCAAAAGACATTTGGGAAGATGATGTTTGTATTTTTGTGTATTTACATATATATGTGTATGGTCAACAATGTAATCAACAGTCCTTGTCTATGTTGTATTCTGTTAATTCAAAGAGTAAAGGAACATCCTGTCATTTTAATGAATTGGAAACACAGGATATCTTGGCATTCATCCCACTTTGAAATATACTGTGAATGGTGGAGGAACAAGCAAATTGCCTTATGTTAATTCATACAGCTAAATACCAGTGCTCCACCGCCTTCAAAATCATGCTAATTACCTTTTGAAATCCAACTTGTCAAAAGACATAAAATTGTATAAAAGATCGTTGGGTACTGATTCTGTCATCTCAGATCTGTTTAAGCTTCACTGGGGGAAGTTTGAGTTGTAAGACTGAGGTCCCATTTATGCTGGTATGCCCTGAATATGATATTTGGACATGGGGCTATAACCTATGAACTATTTCTGAAACAACTCTTTGCAACTACAAAGCTCATCATCTCTGCTATGAATCTGAACCTCAATGACTTGAGCTCACGTCTGTATGTATTGATCTTTTAACCATACTCTCTCTTGTTTTTTAATAAATTTTAGTTTAGTTAATAAGAATTGGCTGTAGTGTGTATTTGGGTAAGATCTGGAATATTCAGTAACCTAGGAGGTAATGTGTCCGATCCTTTGGGATTGGTTAAACCTTTTCTTTTATATGATGAAATAAGATTTTCAGAAATCATCATATTTGACGTGTGTACCTGGATGGCGGCCTGAGGCTGGATCACTTTAAGAGAACTGTGTTGTTTGGACTTCTGAGTAACCAGTAAGGTAATAAAGAAGCTGTTTTGTAGTGGCTTGGTAAATCTAAGTATTAGAATATCCACCAGCTTTTGGGAGATTGTCACCTTAATTGAGTGACCACAGCTGGTCACAGATGCATTACTAACATTTGTAACAGGTTTATCTGAGGCAACAGAGATGATCTTATCTGTCTGGTAACCAAGATTTTGTGATGAGTGCTTGCACTCCTTACACCTGGGGCAGCTGAGACACCACCAAAACACTGCTGGAGAATCACTAAATGAATGCACAGCCAACTTCCAAAGTGTCCAAGTTAGCATGCCAAAGTTTTCATTTTGGTCACTTGGATGAGCATGAAGGCTCTTAAATACCAACTGGAGTCTACAGCTTTGGAATTTGGTACCCTAATCTCTTGAACTGGCAAGCAATATCTTAAGTCAACATTCATTTTTCTGGGAGAGTTTGAGAACTACGCTAGCAGATAGTGTGTAAAAATTAGGGAGGCTCTATGTAGCCATCTACTAATTACCCTCCCACCTGGTTTGTCTTGCAGTTTAGAAATTTCCCATAAATGTCTGACTGTGACCCTAGGCACACCTGTTTTCACATGCTACTGCAGTATTTGTACAACATAAGCCTTGTAAGGTATCATATGAAAGCTAACACCACACTGGTTATTATCATTATAACATTAGCACATGCATTCTAAATATGCAGTTGTGAATTCCCTCTGTGATGTTACTAGTGTAAGTATAGAACATGGTAAAAACAAGACAGCCTAGCCTAGGTCAAGGTGATAAACAGGTTCATCCTAGACAAAGGAATGTGGGGTTATCTCAGCTTAATTATTAGCAGTAAACAAAGCCATCAAGCTAAACCAGCAGAGGTTATCCTGATTCTGAACTGGAGACAGAGAATTAACCTGGCTCCTGCCCGCCCCCCCAACCCCAGGAACAGGAGACTGAATCCCCAGGGGGGGCCTTTTAAGACAAAAAACAACCCCTTTAGAGTTATAAGGAACAGAGAGAGACACTCTATTTTTATCCTTCACCTTGGGAGACAAGGAAGTCTAGCCATTTGATCTCTGTGAGGGGTCCTGGCCAGCAAAAGCTTGGCAATTGTGGGTGAGAGAAACCATCTTGAACAAAGACTGTATCTTGCTAGATTGTTTTAGACTTTTAGATGCATGTTTTCACTCTTATTTGTTTGTAGCATCTCTACCTTTATCCCTTTTACCCTTCTGTCACTAAATGTGTTTTGCTTTCATTATAAATCATCAGTGTTGTATAAATTCAGTAAAGTGTGTGCTTCTAGACAATGGACAGGTGAGAGTGTTTTACTGTCTCTGTAAAAGCAGCAAACCTAACACTTTCCCTGTGAGGGTCCAGTGAGAGGGACTGGTCCCTGCACTGGATGTTTTTTAGGGTGAATTTGGGGCTGGAAGGGCACTAAAGTCGGCCTGCAAGGAGCAACCAGGTTGGACAAAGCCAGGATGACGCTTGTGGGCCGCTGGCAGTCTGTTGAGGTCAGAGCTCTGGACCAAAGCTGCACAGCTACAAGACACCCAGGGTTTCCAGGCAAACAGTGACCAAACCCTTACTAGTCTGGGTGAACCCCAGAACGTCACACTGACATACTCATACTTTTGGCTTCAGTTAATATTTTTTTTTCTGGGGGTCAGATGCAATAATCTCTCCCAACAGTTAGATTAGAAATCTGTCATAAAACTAATTGTCCATATGATTTAGTGTTTTCTAAGGCCTTGCAACTAATTTTAAATATGTCTTTAAATGTCAGTGTGTGACAGGAGTTTCTTTAGGAGCTTGTTTCTGAACTTCATAATACGGTAGGTCGTACGGAGCACCTCTCAGTTCCTACCAGCCCAGTGGAGCAGGAAACCAGAAATGTCAACTGAACTGATATAAGCCACATAACAATGGAGCACATTGCCATGAGGTCAGTAGCAGATTTATTAAACACCCTGGGCCAAATTCTGTCATCATTTATACTGGTGTAAAGCTGAAGTAACTCAGTTTATACCAAACACTTGACTCTCTCAATTAAAAAAATACATAAGCAAAGAATGTTCAAATCTATAATAGAGTAAGAAAATATATTTATTAAATTCTATGGCAATACTATGGCAAAACTGTTAAATACATGCATATTTTTAAACAGACATAAGCAATATGTCAAGAGTTACACAGCCAAGCAAACTAGCTTAAAATGTATGCAAAAAAGGTGGAATCTTAGTACTAGGTTAGTTATAAATGTAGCATACCATATTATCATGTTTCCCAACATGATGTCACACTTCTCTTTCCAAGCATGCGTTTGTTTAGATGTCCATTCAATAAAACTGTCTGCTAATACATTTTCGTGAATCAACATTTTGTTTACTTGGTGCGTTTTAACTTTATTTAATAAAGTGCCTTGTGATTATTCTGTTTTAAATACATAGCAGATTTGGAAATGTATGCCAATTTCAGCAAAAAACTGTTGTGGTAAATTTCTAAATTAGAAGCAATGTAAAGGGAAGAGTGTTAAATTGACTGTCTTTTTCACCTTCATTTATTCTCAGAACTAACTTCATACTTTACAATTTGAAATTAGTGGACAATGCTTTCATTAGTGCTATAAACAGATTCCATTGAAATACATGTAAAAAACATAAAACATTTCTAAACATAATATTTAGGCTGTAAAAAAATATGGTATAAAAGAGACCTAAAAAACCCACTAAACCCATTCACAGTATGTGTTTTTAAACAACAGCATTTTAGCATAACACTATTTTTTTCTCATCACCTGGAGGATACTACCAGAACGTTTAATCTGTGCACCACAATAGGATAAAGTTTAGAACTGAAATTACATTGCATTGTGGCGGGATTTTAGGCAAGATCTGAATCAAAATAGTCAAAAGTGAAAGTCAACCTCCTTTGCAAGCATTCCAGGAGCTCTATGAAATGTAGTACTACGCATCCTCATTCACTTTTTACTATTACATAAAGAGATACTGCCAGATTAAAAATGTATTTAAAAATTCATTTTCTTATTTTTGTTACAAACCCTTGAATAATCTAAAGTAAAAGGAAGCCCTTTGCTAATTCAATTTGATTTTTCACTAGTTAAACTGATTACTTTTTGAATTTTTCTGAGTTTGAACAATGAAAATAAATTAGCAACTTTTCTTTATAGTCAATTTCTAATCGATTACACTCTTTAGTTCTCATGCCTTAGTGAAATGCGGCAATATGAGTTGCAAATGTTTGTTTTAAAAAAATTGTTCCAATTAGAATTGTTTAAATCATGAAAATATTTCTGTTGGTGTTAGCTTTTGATTTTTTTTCTTATTACACAGATCCTAACTCTGCCAAATTTTATCTAGCAATATCTCCTTAAGTGGTACATAATAAAAAGGAGCCTGTGAAATAATTTAGGCTTAAAATGTGGTCTGCCAAGGTTTGAAACTCATGTGGATATTCATCTCCCTTCTGCAGAGAAATTAGCTACCATTTTGTGGGCAAAACTATTGTTTCACCTGCTGGGACAATTTCTGAGGCTGCAAAACATCACTCCTGCTAGCCTCATTTGATACTTGTTTGCCTAACATGAAAAAGGAACCACAGATATTGGCTATGTTAGAAACACTGGGGGAAATCCAGTGTTAGACAAATGGAAAAGAAAATAATTATGATGAAAGGAACTATTTTCCAGCTGCTATGAGGACATTTAAAAAATAACAGATGGGCCCAAGCTTCAGGATGTGGAACTGGATCTTTAAACATACCAAGTTTGGAGCTGTATCTGGGCTTGGATTTCAAAACCTCCGAAGTCTGAATGTATTTGGATTTGGGGTTCTTGTTCCTCTCTAAAGAACGGAGAGTTACTGAAACAAAAACTACAACAGTCTAAAGAACAACTGCTAACAGCATCCATTTAAACATTAATTGCACAAGTCAATATTTTACATGCAACAACATGAACCACAATGTAACCATGTTGTGGGAAGTCCAGGTAGCATTCCCCTTTCTAGCATTTTAGAAAATGTTCTACCTCTAATACGTCATATGCCAGAGTGGGGCTCTCTGATAAAATGTCCTGGAATTTCAAGATGACTTATTATACAATATGGAAGTACAGTATAAGTACAAGTATATATTTGCATAAATAATTTAGGACCTTTAAAAAAATTAGAAATGATATTAAAACCATTTGAACTAAAGTTCTCCCAAAATTCCTCTACTTTGGAACTGAGAATACTATTTTATTTACACGAGAAGCTAGGATATGCTAGCTATTTATTATAGTAAAACACAGCACAGCTATCCATTTGATTCTTCCAGTCTAATCAATTTTCATGTTTTTCCTTTATATTTCCAATATAGCTTTTGAATGCTAGTCACATCTATTACTGTAGCGTATTTAATATGTACAATAAACAAAAAGCAATATAATTAAATTGACTAAAAATATAGCACTGATGATCTTGTTACATTTCTCTCTGGAATATCTTGCCCCCTCCCATGCATACAATTTCCTTTGATTCTGCAATTACTCTCCCTCTCTGAGCAATTTCACATTCAACTGAACTTGGGTCAGAGGGACAGTCTCAGGGGACCACACAATATAAACCTGCATCAAATGGTTATCAGGCCCAAACTTGCTTTGCTTAGGTGAACTTTGTTCAGAGGCCTGTATTTTCCTCTTCAGAGTAACACAGGTTTCTACTTCAGAGGGGAAGAAGTACCCTATCCCACTTCCCTGTAAAACTAACACCCTCATCCTACCATGTAAAACAAAAGATACATCTACACTTTGCACTGGAGGTAAGATTCCCAGCTCAAGGAGACATTAGCCGGCAAAAGTATGTTGAGCTGGGAAATACATTGCTAGCTCGAAGTGCAGACGTACTCTAAGAAATATGCTGAATCTGCCAATTGACTTCAATCTGAGCGACAATATTGCAAGCAGTTTCTACCAGATGTGGTGCTCATTACTCTATGTAGTAGCATTACTTCAATGGACTAGTTACCATAGTGAGGCCTACATGGTAGTAAATGTTTGCAGGATCAGGTCCTAAGCCTGCATATGCAGAGAACACGTGGCAGAGGAAAAAATTCACTGACTACCTGTAACGTTAGCTTACTACATTTGATGGTATATTAACCAGCTTTGTGAGGTATATCATATATAGGCTATTCAAATTTACAACCCTAATTAAAATGTCATATCAGTTAGGATTCCAAGTCCCCATGTATCAGTCAATACAACACAAACAATGAACATAGACTAGAGAGTACACACAAATAAATCAAATGCTACCGATGCTCAATAATGGAGAGAATACAAAAATCCTTTCCACAAAACAAAATCCTACAAACCAGACATGGCTCAAAATTAAAAAGCAGCAGCATAAATTATTTGCTCCAGAATTAAACTGCCTGACATTTAAAAAAAAGCAAAAAACACATTAACATCTCTTAGATGCCTCAACAGTGTTAAAACCGAAATACTAGCCGTGATCTAAAAAAGAGTGATAGTGAGTGTTGACAGAATCCCTTATTATTAAATTCAACTCCCTTTTGGAAGTAACATTTATTCCCCCCCCCCCCACTTTAAAGTAAATATCTATAGGTTTTTAATAAATCCAAAGGCTGAGATATAAAAAAGATAAATGTCTTGCAAAATTTTCTATTATATGAGAAGCTTTTCAGAAACAGGAAAACGACCCTATCTTAACAAAGGGATTTCATTGGGAAGCTACAAGACATCAGTTAAGGAGCCTAATTTCATTTGAAACACATGGCTTTATCCTCACAACCCCCATTAATGTTTATGGAAGTTAAAGAGCACCATGCATAGAGAGTAACCTTGGTATGGAAGACTAGTTACTACTCTACTTTTTTCTTTAAGGCGCTTCAGCGATTAGTGTACATTTGCACAGGTTTGGAAAGAAATTCAATCACTTAACAATATTAGTCATTCAATCCTATTTTACCCTTTCAGACCCAAAGGTTGGCTGACATCTTCACTAATTTGTTATGCCTCTTCCTGAAGATCTTATGGATATGAAGCTCAGGAGATGAAAGACCTTGAGGCACGTACTTGCATTTCTTAACAAAAATTGTACGGTAGCCAGAAGAGTTTGAGTAAGGCCACCATCAGAGTTTCTTCCAATTGGTACTCCCAATTGTGGAGTTTCTCATTTAGCTACCATGTCTAGGAAGTGAGTTACTTGCAGGTATGTATAGAAATCCCAAGAAAGATTAAATTTAATTCTGAACAGTTCAAAAGTCAGTTGCATTATGACTTGGGATAAAAATCTCCAAGAATCTACTGTCCTTTGACAGCCCAACCTTTGAAGTTACCTGAAGTTACCGAAAGAAAAGCTGGTACCCTGCACACATCTGGGAAGTCAATGAGAATTCTGATAATAGACCAAGGTGTGGAACTGCTTTTTCCCCACATTTGCAGAGTGGTCCCGAGGACAGGATGTTCTCTGATATCCTGATGGAGCAATGTGCCTTCACCATAAATCAGATCTGAAGAGGTTAATATCCTCTTTTGTTTTCTGCCTTTCAAGCCTCATCAAGCTGATCATCAGGATCCTCTTATGTCACATAAAAATCAATACCTGATCCATCCAGTGTTTTTTGGTTTAAGAGAGGATAGGGAACACTTGGAGAAAGACATTCATTTTTATCCAAGTGACTCAGCCAAACATAGATCATGGTAAGTTATGCCACCTTTGAAGTATATAAAAGAGTGGGTGCAGATACAGAATCTTAGTATGTATTGCTGTGATCAGGTTTAAGGTAATTTTTGTCTGATGGGTGGCCAGATTACAGTTCCACATGCAGTGGATGTGTATGGTTTTGCAGACCCGTCTTCCTGATCTGCTCAGATTACTTCAGAGCTGTGGGTCTGATACCAAATTCAGCAGGACGGGCTGTCTCAGAGCTTGGTTTAGAAAACTATTTCTGCAATTTAATTATTTGAGGAGCCACAAATTAATGCTTGAAATCAAGACCTTAAAAGGATTCAGCTAAGATCTTAAGGACACTCTGTTTTCCTTCAATGTTGTATCTCCTGACCCTCCATTATTCTTTTTTCTTTTTTCTTTTTAACAATTAGTAACAGATTTAAGTTATAAAGCATTTAAAAAACAAAGTCAATGAAGTAATGGCTTGGTTCTTTTGATGCATCTGTCACAACCTAATGTTTATACATTGAAGTGTTACTATTAGAGCTGTTTATAGCAGGTTTATGTGACGCAAGTGTGAAAGCAGAAATACTCAAAGATGATGATTTTTAACTTTTCTTTAAAACATACACAAACACTAATCTTGCCATTAGAAAATTACATCAGGTGACCAGTGCTGGGGAGGTAGCTATTAAAAATCATTAGTGGCATTAGCTTACGTGGGATCCCCCTTGCCCGTAGAGAAATCCCACCTTATGTTTCCACCTAAGATTTGGAAAGAGTGCTCTGTTTGGTAGATAGTGTTCCTGGAGATTAGCCACGGAGTCTTCCTGGTTGGTGGGAACTATTACAGATAAAGACCAACCTTTCTCACTGGTGGAGCAAATCTGCCTGGGCAGCTAGTGCTATTAAATGCAATCTATGGAGCAGTCTCTACTGATAGGTGAGTGCAATCAATGACTGTTGAAGAATGAGACGAATCATTTGGGTGGCCTGCTCACAGCACTTTAGTTCTAGACTAATAATGGTCAAAATGAGTGTTTCTAGAAGAAAAAGATGCGTCACCTCTTTGAGGTAGCAGATCTGGAGCTGCAGCTATAAAATACAAAACACATTAGTGCAATATGTTAGGAAATACTACCTCCTTAACCAAAAGAGAAAAAATATAGTGTTTTAAGGTTTAAAAAATTAATGCTGAAGTTTAAACATTTTGCAGTTCTTGTTGAGGTTTAAATCAGTGTTATACTCATTTTCCAAGTTTGTACCCCTGAGTCAGATATTGAATAAACATTGTACAGCAGGTACAGAAACTAGTGTTCTGGTTATCAAACAACAAACATGAATAGCCATTGTTTAAAAGTGTTAAATGATTATGATATTTTTCCCTGTGGGACTTTAACTAAGCACAGATTGAAGTGCTAATTGTAATGTCTAGGTAACAGATTTAATTAACTACCAATCTAAGCATGTAATTTCCAGCTGTTAGACTAAAAGTTTGCCTACCGCCATCACCCTCATCTAGACAGTTTGTAAATTGGTTTGGATTTAGTCATTCTGAATATTCATAATAAGAACCAGTTAACAACAGAAGCAGAACCCCTTTCAAAGTAACAAGTTGTATGAGATCATATTGATTTTGAAACACAACTTGAAAGCAGACAGAGTTCTTTGACTAGGATTCCGAGGAGATCCAGCCTCAAAACCCCAATATCTTCGTAGTGTAACAATTGAGTTTCTATAACTTTGGGTTTTTAGCCTGTATTAAAATGGAACATTAACACTTTAACTTAAATGTGGTAACATTCAGCTCATGAAAAAAAATGCTGCCGACTGTCTCCAAGGATAACCCATGCTGTTACGACAACACTAGGAACAAGAACTTCTTGAATGGCAGGTTCAGATGAAATGACGATTACCATGATTGCTAATCATTTGGTTTGTTCTGAAAAAAATTTGTAAAGGCCCACCCTGTGTTATTAGGGGTGGGAGAGTCTTCATAATCCTTTGGGGGGATCAAAAACTGTCGAGAATTAATGGAGCACGGACTTCCAAAAGATCCATTTTCATTGTTGCTTTGAATTGATATAGGAGAGTCTGGAGAGTCTAACTTCCAGACATTAGTGTTTGCTTGAGGTCTGTAGCCCGCAGTTTTATCTAAGTCCTCTTCTGTAGGTGAGTGACACTCCATTTTCATAGAATTAATTGGCAGTTGCATTTGCGGCTTATAGCCTGCTGTAGTGACAAAGTTAATTTCTGGCTCTTCCTCTGGATTAATCTGAGGCTGATACATTGACTGAATGTCAATATAAATGAGCTGAGAAGATCCCACAGGTTCATCTATTAGTGGACTGGAGATCTCCTCCTCAATGATTGGTGGGCAGTATGACACTACCACGTGGCTTCCTGTTTCTGGGTCAGACCCATCTTCAGGAAGCTCACTATCCGCTACAGGGGATATAATTTCTGTGTCTTCTATCTTAAGGACTGTGGATCGCGTTTCCACCACTTCCACACTATTCGGGGTACAAGGGTTCATTTCCAAGGTTTTAAGAGCTGTGTTCCCCTAAAAATAAGCCACAAGAAAAGCAAGAAAGTGAGGATAATGCAAAAGAGTTTGATATTAAGAAAACTGAATACTATTTTAGTTTATATAGACAGTATATTGTACTGTGGTTTGCTTAGTTAAATTGAGAGAAGTGTCACCATCTGTACACTGCAGCAGAGCAATTGTTTACTGTTTAAAAAACTATTCAACTTATTCAACTATTCAACTTCCCAGCTTCCCCATATATCTATTTGTATATCTGATGTTCAGCTCATTTTAAAATATTTTAGCAAGTTCAAACTATTCCTAAATTTTGCCAAAAAATATTTCTAATATAAAACCAACCACTATTTCCCTTTAATGCTGTCAGAGTAGATTACACAAGAAAGATAAGTTTGCCTTTCCATTTACTTCCAATTACAAAGTGTTAGTAGTGGGCATGGAAGAGAGCTGGCGAGAATGCCATACCCTCGCTTCGCACTGCTGCCAATGCAAGGAGGAAGGAAATTAACAGCTGGGGATAAGCCAGATCATATCATCACTTCTACTGACCCTTGGGACATATCTTCTTGATGCAATTGTACATTTTAGATCAGTGGTCCCCAAACTTTCCCTCTCGCACCCCTCCTTACCTGTAATAGAATGTGTTCTCACACCCCAACCCCCACTCCCACCCCCATCCCTCAGGCCGGGAGTGGAGTTACAGCCAGGGGCTGGTGGCTGGGCCAGAGCAGAGCTGGGTGGTGCTCCCTCCCCACCTCCGGGGGCTGGCCCAGGCTCCACAGTTTGGGGACCACTGTTTTAGATGCTTAAAAACTGAATTAAAATGAAGGTTACCTCACATATATTCTTCTGAAACTGCAATGCCTTACTGTTCTCAGGATTTGGAATGTCAGGGTAGAACGTTTCTTTAATCCTTTATAGAGAAAATTTAAGGAATTTTCAAAATTACCAACAAAGGTTCAGCATGTCAAAATAAGAATGCAAGAAAAACAGTCATGATGTTACTATCAGGTCATAATCCTCAACACAGGATTAATAAACTTTAACTGTTCAAATTTTTCACTTTACACAGTTGTGCTTTGGGCTGCATGTAAAAAAAATGCACACACACTCTTCTGATGCTTCCACTGGAGTTTCAGGTTTCTGAAAGCTTGAAGATGGACTGCAAATTGATTGTGGGCAGATCACAAATTAAAAGTATGCCTAATTCTACACATTGTAATTAGGATTCTTCTTCATCTGACCTTGAATGCAGCCTCAGGTGGAGGGGAAGAGGCTCCTAAGAGATCTTCTACTGCTCCCTACACACAGGCTAATGGTTAAGAGCATTGGACAATGAGCAGAAGATTTGGGTTCTTCTGGCTCTGTCACTGACTCACTGTGGGACCTTGTGGCCAAATCGCTACTTTTCTGGGCCTCCCTTCCTTCCTATCCTTCCCAACTATAAAATGGGAATAATACTTTTCCTCACTCAAAAGTCTTGCGTAAAGCCCACTGAAATCCTCAGGTGTTTTGGGAAGCATGACAGGGGGTACCAGGCCTTTTGAGGCCCCCTGCAGGAGCAGTGAAGGTGGGTCCTCCAGGCCTTCCTAGAATGGTTGCTTCCTTGCAACCTATCAGAGCCCAACAGGCTCAGTTAAAAGCAGCTGAAGGGGCTTAGCAGGTCAGTCAGTGGTTAGGACCAGAAGGGTGAGGAAGGCTGCAAAACTCTTCAGGGAAGGAGGCCTGGGAGAGACCCTGCTCAAGCAGAGATAAGGCAGAGAGAACCCAAGATTGTAACCCTAAGGTAATAGGTGAAGGCAATGAGACCGAGTTTGAAACAGCCCAGGGAATGCAGCAGCAACTATTAAGGAAAGCAGCACGTGGCTGCTGTCTGCAGGGTCCCTGGGTTGGGGCCCAGAGTAGCAGGTGGGCCTCGGCCCCCTATCTCCCACCGGCCAGTGGAGAAGTGGCCTAAACCCTGAAGAGGGTAAAAGATTCTTTACTAAAAGCCCAAGAAAGGGGCTAGATTTAAATGTGCCCAACAGGGACTGAAGAGAGAAGGCACCCTCAGGAAGAATGGGCTGAGTCCAGTTTGAGCCAGGGAACTGGAAGACTTGTTTATGTTTGTTTTTTACTTGAGTACCCCAGAAGAGGTTTGTCCATTTTAGATTGTGTGTGACTTGCCTGGAGTGCTGGGCCACTGAAAACCTGCCTTTAGCAAGGTTGGCAGCCTACAGGGGGTGCCAGGAGGAAAATAAGATTGCAGCACCACCCCCAGCCAACCAGAGGCACTCATGAGAGGTGAGGTCCACGTCCACCTCCCGCCCCAGGAAGGCAATAAATTACTCAACAAAAACAGAATTTAACTGAAAATGAGCGTTTACCATTCCCTCTTTTGGTAGCAAAGGATGCTGGTCACTACTCCAAGCACAACAGCTACTGCCACTGGGATGAGAATGGCAATGATCAACCCCATGGCTAGGAAAAAATAAAGAAAAACAGTAAGAGATATTCAAAGTTATCAGCAAAGTTCGTGGCTCACAACCCTTTTGTAACATTCCCAGATATTATAGGCCACTTTATAGATCAGTGGAGGCTCATCAAGCCCCATCTGCCTATAACGTGACCTATAGCACATCCTTCATTGCAAAAGACAAATCCTCCCAGTTGGTCAATTGTGAAATAGTGTGTAGAAAAGGAAGACGTTTCTGTTTGATCCCCTATTGGTACTAAGCCTCAGATGCATGGTGATAGGCCTGATTGCAAAGTTTATCCCAGAGAGCATAACTTCTAGTGTTTATTGTATTTTAGATGGCTATTTAAAATTATCAAACTATTTGTCTATTCTGTGGCAGTGATTTCTACAGGTTAATTACATGTTGCATAAGTGCATTGCCTTTTACTTAGTTTAGTCTTTTAAGATCACTGAGCATCTCCTCCTCTTCTCCCCTAACAAAAGTTGCCTGTTTAGCCTTCTGGGCAGAGTTGTTTCATGCACTTCTTCTTTCCAAACTGCGTAACCCCCTTTCCTCCCTTCCCCCTCCCCCCCCACCCCATCCTCAGGTGGATTTAGTCATTTTCAATCTTTTGAGCAGTTATGAGTTCAGACCCCATCCATATGTATGAGTAGATGAAGTTTTTAAACATTAAGCATTAATTACTATGAGCTTCATAGTAGCTGTAACAGTTAAACAGCTGTAAGGTTAATTTTTTCCCCCAGTCTGCTATTTAAAAATATGGATAACAGGCCTGGGATAGCTCAGCAGGAAAAGATGTCAGATGAGTCCAAGATAAAGATCATGATGCTCTTTGACTTAAGCACTGCCATGCTACAAGTATTATTAGCAAACAGGAATGTTCAACTTACAATTCTCCTTTGTCACCACATACAGGTCTTTCGATGGGCCTATCCCACCAACGGTATAGGCTCGTAAGTCCAGTCGGTAACTTGTTTTGCCTTGAAGATCAAGTATTCTCAAAGACTTTTTTGTTAGGTCAGTAATATTCTTAACTGTTAGCTCAGGAGACCCTGTTTTGTTTTGTGTTTAAAAATATAGGGAATGTACACATTAGAATATGTTCACAAAACTCAAACTTTCATATTGAACTGGAAAACAATCTTTTTAATGGAGCGAAATCATGCATACAGAATTATGCTGCAGAAAATCCACTACTGTGTCGTGTAACAGGGTGTTAATTAAGCGGCACAAAGGGTATATCTTCAGTGCAGAAGTAACTCTCATTATGTACACTTGCGTTACTCCTCTTAAGTTAGCCCAGCTCGAGTGAGGGCAGCCCTGCTATGAAGTAATACTCAAGCTGCTGTGTCCACACTGATGCTGCACTAAGACTTCTGATGACATATGTCTGGGTTCTTAGCACTGCAGTAAGCTGAGCCATTCTATGAATTCTTTCCTAATGAACTGTGGGAGAACTTGTTTGCCCTGTCTGGCACATGGGGAGGAACTGTGAGAAGCCCTTGGAAGACTTGCATCCGTACTACAGAGTCATTGTGTTAGCAGATGACTAGTTGTGTTAACTTAAGTTTTAGCCTCTACTTCCTGATGGGCCAGCCAGCTTGAGTTAAAAGCATCACCATACTGGAATTAAAGCCTACTCACAATCCTAACCTTGAGTTGGGAGCAGAACTCGAATTTTAACTCTAAGTTTTCAGTGCAGACAAGCCAAAGAGTGAAGAAAAAGGATCCTGGCAGACTAAACATTAATAAACTGCTAGCTGAAAATAAAGATGTCACGCACTGAACTCCATCATTTGCTACAGACTTCATATAATTACATTTCAGAACATCTCTCGTAAGTGCAATTACATTTTATAAGGTTATTTCCTCTATCATTTGCACACTACCACAATTATCAGTTTTGGAATGAACTGAATGAAAAGTATCACACTGACAGGGAAAGAAACTGGCCTTCTCTATCTACAGAACGGAGATTAGCTTGAGCAATGGCAACACAACATTATCCCAACCACACTGCCGATGCTCTTAACCCAGTTCTGGAGGGTTCACCATTTTCACACTCTCTTCTCATTCAGTGTTTTCCTCAGAGACTGGATGTTCATTGTCATGGTGACTTGTGTGGTGTGGGTACCCTAGTCAAGTAGAAATTCCACTTAATTCATTTACTCTTGCCCACATGAGCTGTTAGTATTTTAAATGTCTTCACCAGTTCTTAAAGGCCAATTTTAGGTGCTGAACAATGCCAACTGAACTGTAATTAAACAATTGTTTCTAAAGGATGATTCATTAGCGAGTGTAAGGAGTTTACAGGAAAACTGAAGACCATATATTTTATTTACCTTCTTCCATAAAATTAGTCTTTGAAGTACCTTTCTCCCCTTTTGCAAAGTAAAGAATATATCCCTTTAAAAAGCCCTGGCAGTCTTCAACAGGAATGTCTTCCCATTTTACTAATATTGACTCTGAAGAGGTTTCTTCTACAGTAAAATTTGGTGCTACCTTTGGAGCTGTGGAAAGAATTGAAAAAAAAAAAGTTACACAACTATCCTTCCATTGTATGCTAAGAGTATGTTAGTATTACAGCATTATTATTAAGACTTACATGTTGATCACTACACTGAAAATGTTCTTAATAAAAAGAAAAGGAGGTGACATTAGCCAAGTGTCACTACATCAGCCTCCCTGTTGGTATATTATCACCACTAATTTGTATTGCAAGGGCATCTACTAATCCCAGTCATGGACAAGGACTCTCTTGTGCTAGGTGCTATACAAACAGAACAAAAAGATGCTCCTGCTTGCAGTATGAATACACGTTAAAAATAAATCCAACTAGTGCAAACATTTAGAAAGACGCAACTTAATAGAAATTGTCTCGTTTTCAAATGTCTGTAACTTTGCTTTATTTGAAGAAATTGTGTTTAGTAACAACAGAGCCTGCATTCTTCACTGAGAAAAATATTAACGCTGTTTAAAAGCACTGCTGCGTCCCAGCCGGAGTCACAAGTCTCCATTGCAATTCATGGGAACTAGTGCAGGGATCATAGCCAGGCAAATTCACACAACAGGCCTTAGCTGGAGGTACAGATACCATCATGAGTGAAATTTTAGAAGCCAACTGTGTTCTTACAAAACAAGAAATTATATATCTATTATATCACAATTTCTGTTTTGAAAAATGACAAACTTAGTCCAAATGCTTTTTTGTTTTTTAAGAGAGGTGTAAATGGTTGAAAACAAGAGTTTAGAGTAAACATTTCATTTCATCTTCCATCATAGCATTAAGCAACAAGCAATGATCCCTACAAAGCATTACCTTGGCTCAGACTACGTGATCAGAGAAAGTTTCCAATAAAATTATTCCAAGCACCTGGCAGAAATGAAATGGGTCCTATAGCTCCAAAATATGCATTTATCCTTCACTCTCCTAGCTATTAAGTATAAAGAGGAGTTCAGACTTCCAGGAACAGAGCAAAAGGGAGTGCAGGGGTTGTCCTTAAATGTCTAAGGCATTCCAAATCAATATCAGCATATATCAGATATAAATGTAAATAGCAGTAGCTATAGAAACTCTGGAATTTTAATTAATGAGACAATTTGTACATTCATATTTTAAAAATACAATTTTACTCTAAAAACTGATTTAGATATAAAGAACATTGTAGGTTTCTTTATTCACTGTGTCTCACTGATTTCTATATTAAATATACTCAGACATATTTTTACGTGCAAAGTAACTGAGCCCCACACACTCACTTTGGCTTCAACAGTCAAGATTAGAGTTGTGTGAATGACTGATTTTTTAGTTCACTGGCCAAACAAAAAAAATTGTTTTGCATCGAACCAAAGTCAATTTTTTTAAATGTTCTGGTGACCCAAAAAAGTAAAGAAAATGTAGGTTTCAGGTTGAAAAAAATATTTTTATTCAAAAACAAAAAAACCTTTCATTTGTTAAACAAGCAAAATTGCATCATTTGAACCAAAAATGTGTTTTGAATAAAAAGAATCTACGCTTTTTGTTTAGAAAAACATTGATGATGAGATGAAATGTTTTAATTTTTCCAGAATTTTGTTTTGTTTTCCAACCAAAACAATTTGGTGAATTCAACCTGAATTCACAAAATGTTTCAGTCAACCTGAAGCTAATTCTTTGGGGAAAAAAGTTTTGGCCAACATTTTTTGCCCAGCTCTCGTCAAGATGGACTCTTTTCACACCGCAGAAGGCTGGTAAAAATGGTTCCTTGAAGCCCAAATTATACCTCAGCTTTACCTGTACAACCACTATCTTCACCTGTACAACTGTCTTTACCTGTACAACCCCTGTGCAACCATACTGGCTGTAAATGGGACTGCACAGATGTCACACAGCATAGGTGCTGACTCCATGCGTGCCCCAGGGCTGGAGCACCCACGAGGAAAAAATGGTGGGTGCTGAGCAATCACTCACAGCCCCCCTGTTATTCTCCCTCCCCCCAGCGCCTTCCGCCCACTGGCGGGCCCCGTGGATCAGTAGCTTCCCCTCCCGCCCCACACCTCCTGCGCGCCACGATCAGCTGCTTTGCAGTGTTCAGGAGGGTCGGGGGTGGGGGGGTGAGGGGAGGAGCGAGGACGCGGTGTGCTCGGGGGACGGGGGCCAAACTGGGCGGGAAGAGACAGGGTGGGGGTGAAGCTGGGGTGGGGCCTTGGGAAAAGGGGTGGAGTGGGTGCGGGGCCTGGTGCAGAGCTGGGGGTTGAGCACGCCCTGGCACTTTGGAAAGTCGGCGCCTGTGTCACACAGCATAATCTGAAGACAATGCAGTTACATGAGCACAACAAAGGGCATATTTGGATGCAGAGTGTGTTGTTGATGATGTGCAATATGGAAGCCAATCACCAGGCTGTCAAAACTCAGGATAACATCGTGGGGGTGACAGTGGGAAAAACGTCTTTTGACTCGCAAACTGAGCACATTTGTCACAGAAGTGAGTAAGACGAGGAAGGTGGAATTCATATTGCCATTTATTCAAACATTTTAGGGCTGAATCCCCATTTTAACGTCTGTATCCCCTCTCGCATTCAATATTACAATAATTTCAATCTGATTTTCAGACAACAGAATAAGAACCAGCTAGGATGCAGAGAGTGGAAGTTCACTGAATTAGTGAATAAGTGATACATTAAAAATCTTTATTAATGAACTCTGAAGGCTGGTGGCACTGAAAGAGAAAAAGGAAATATTCAGCAGTAAGGAGATTCTGCTTTCAGACTTTTTCTAATTTATCTAGCAAAAACTAGTACAGGTTAGTCATATTTATTTGATCTTGTATTTCTAAAGGATCTTAACAATAAAATGCACTTACGCAATTCTTTCATGTATCCCGTTATATTCTGTAATAACTGATATCCATTGTGTTTGCAGCCATATAGTGAAAAATTGTATCTCACACCAGGTTGAAATAGAGCTGCAAAGAATATCATTGGTAAGCAAAATCTTTTTAGCAAGAGCTATATTTTAAGCTTTTACATACATATTTTCATACAAAAACATTTAAAGTAACACCACCAATAATTAGACCACCAATTCTAAACTGGGGGTTCGTGGCATGCTGGGGGCCACAAACAGGTTTCAGGGAGTCTGCCAAGCCCCGCCACACTGCAGGGGCTAAAGCCCCACTGCCCTGGAGTCCTGCTGCCTGGGGCTGAAGCTGAAGAACACTGAAGCCGCAGGAAACAACTGTTTTTCTGCATATAGAAGCCTGAGCAATTGAGCTTCCTGGGGCCCCAGGCAATTGCCCTGCTTATTACCAGCCCTGGCTTTTATATGCAGAAAAACAGTTGTTGGGACACAAGTGGGCCTGGGAAAGAAAAAGGCTGAGAACCCCTGAATTAGACCATATGGTATTTACAGATAAATATTTCCCCTATTTAATCCCTACTGTATTTATACACAAAAGGTGTGCCGTTACTCGCACAGTTCAGAGTCAGTAAATCATTTTGACCACTCAGAGCAACCTAGACAGTTGAACAAATATAAATTACGAAAACGTTGGAAGCAGCACGAATTGTTGCTTTCCATTATGAAAGACACACTTGCAATGTTAACAGAGATGCTATTTTTCCTTCAAGGCTGTCCTGGTGCTTCTTTTCCCTCCCCAGATATAGTGGCTCATCAACTGATTTCTTCTTAGTTATTATAGCCATACCCATTACAGCACTGTTATTCAGGGTGACTATTCTCTTCAATAATGAGCTCCAGGCTTGAATCAAGTCTGTATAAAACATACATTGTTTTTCCCTCTTGTTTAGAGAGAGAAGATCCCAGGGGAAGAAAGTCTAAGGGACAAAGGAGTTCAAGAGAGCTGGCAGCTTTGCAAGGAGGCAATATTAAAGGCACAACTGCAAACTACCCTAATACAATGGAAAGACAGGAAGAATAATAAAAGGCCTATATGACAGGTTTCAGAGTAACAGCCGTGTTAGTCTGTATTCGCAAAAAGAAAAGGAGTACTTGTGGCACCTTAGAGACTAACCAATTTATTTGAGCATGAGCTTTCGTGAGCTACAGCTCACTCCATCGGGAGCTCTTTATGACCTGAAAATCAAAAAGGTACCCTACAAAAAGTGGGAACATGGACAAAATGCTAACAAGTAGTACCAAAGAATAGCACAAGCATGTAAGAAAAAAACCAGAAAGGCTAAAGCACAAAATGAGTTACATCTGGCAAAGGACATAAAAGGTAATAATAAGAAGAGGTTCTTTAAATACATTACGAGCAAGAGAAAGATGAAGGAAAGTGTAGGTCCTCTACGTAGCAGGGAAGGAGAGCTAATCACTGATGGCATCAAGAAAGCTGAGGTGTTTAATGCCTATGTTGTGTCAGTCTTCAGTGAAAAGGCTCATGGTGACCAGATACTCAACACAATTAATATTAAACAACCCAGGGGAAGGAATGCCAGTCAAACTAGGGAAAGAACAGGTTAAAGAATATTTATATAAGATTAAATATGTCTAAGTGACAAGGCCTAATGAAATTAAGGAACTACCCTGAAATAGTCTCGGAACCATTAACAATTATCTTTGAGAATTCCTGGAGTACCAGTGAGGTCCCACAAGACTGGAGAAGGCAAACATAGCACCTATCTTTAAAAAGGGGAACAAAGAAGACCTGGGGAATTATAGATCAGTTAGCCTAACTTTATACCTGGAACAAATTATTAAACAATTAATTTGTAAGCACCCGAAGGATAATGGGGGTAATAGGCAGCCAGCATGAATTTGTCATGAACAAATCATGCTAAAACAACCTAATTTCCTCCTTTGACAGTGTTACCGGCCTAGTGGATGGGGGGTGAGGGGGAAGCAGTAGATGTGATATATTTTGATTTTTGTAAATCTTTTGAAACAGTCCCATATGACATTCTCATACACAAGGGAAATGTGTTCTAGATGACATTACTATAATGTGGATACAAAACTGGTAAAGAGACCATACTCAAAGACTAATCATCAGTGGTTTGCTCTCAAACTGGAAGGGTGTATCTAGTGGAGTCCGACAGGGGCCAGCCCTGGGTCTGGTACTATTCAATATTTTCATCAAATGTCTTGGATAATGGAGTGGAGAGTATGCTTATAAAATATGAAGGTGACATGAACCTGGGAGCGGTTTCAAGCACTTTGGAATACAAGATTGGAATTCAAAATAATCTTGACATATTGGAGAATTTGTCTGAATTCAACAAGATGAAATTCAATAAAGACAAGTGAAAAGTATCAAAGAAGGAAAAATCAAATGCACAGCTACAAAATGGGGAAGAACTGCCTAGGTGGTACTACTGCTGAAAAGGATCTGGTGTTATAATGGATCACAAACCGAATATGAGTCAAAAATGTGATGCAGCTGTGAAAAAAGGCTAACATCATTCTGGGGTGTATTAACAGGAGTGTCATATGTCAGACACAGGAGACAATTGTCCCGCTCTACTTGGCACTGGGGAAGCCTCAGTTGGAGTAATGTGTTCAATTTGTGGTACCACGTTTTAGGAAAGAAGCAGACAAAGTGGAGAGAGTCCGGAGGAGAACAATTATTTAATCAATGATAACGTATTTAGAAAACCTGACCTATGACGAAGGGTAAAAGAAGAAAACTGGGCATGTTTAATCTTCAGAAAAGATGACTGAGTGGGGACCTGATAAGAATCTTCACAATATATTAAAGACTGTTATAAAGAGGATGAGGATCAATAATTCTCCATGTCTCCTGAAGGTAGAATACAACATAATGGCCTTAAGTTGCAGCAAAAGAGATTTAGGTGCGATATTAGGAAAAACTTTCTATCTATAAGGGGAGTTAATCTCTGGAATAGGCTTCTAATGGAGCTTGTGGAATCCCATCACTGGAGGGTTTTAAGAACAGGTTGGACAAACACCTGTCAGGAATGGTCAAGGTTACTTGGTCCTGTCACAGTGCAGGGTGCTGGACTTGACTTCTCGAGGTCCCTTCCAGCCCTACATTTCTATTATTCCATCATTCTATAAGATGACAAAAGATTCAGCCCTCCAAAGCGCTGCATGCCCTTGACACTCGGTGAAGTTGCAGGAGGTGCTCAGTAGTAGTCTTTGCGCAGTCAAATGCTCAGACCTTGAGCCAACAATCTGATGCATGTGGGTTGATCCCTATGAGTGTTGGGAGCCTCTGTGCTGCCAAATGGGCTCCGGGCAGGTGCAGGGGTCTGACTACAAGAATTTCATTGTAGGGTTGAGACTCTAGGTGACTGAGTCTTAAATGTTGGCTCTAGTTGGGGCCTTTATATTTAATTTATTAAGTTCTAGTCTTTGTAATGCCCTCTTGGACAGCAGGAAATATGCCTCTTTTCCTGCTTATTTCTTTTCTCCCCACTTTGCTCCCCACTGTTCCCACCACACCTGCCTTTTGTTTATTTCTTAGCCTGTCCACCTGCATCTAGATACCTAGAATGTGCCTTGCTCCAGGAAAAGTCAATTGTCTACTTATTGCAAGCCAACAGAGGAAGCTCACACTTTCTCACACTCAAAAAACCAATTCATTCTTTTCCCCCACCCCTCCCCTTGGTGTCCAGACTGGTACATTTGGAATCTGGAAGATTTGCCTGGGATTTTAACAATTTTACAGAATGCTAAAGTTTGGGCTTCAGCTACATTTCTTTTAGTAACTTCAAAACATTATGGAAAGTGTAAAGAAAATAATAGTTGAATCAAGAACGAAGAGATGGAGACAGCTGAGGAGAGAGAGAAGTTAACATAAATATTAGCACAAAGAAGGTATTTTAAAACAGTACCTTTTATCCTTCCCCCTGATAATTTTCGGCATTCACTTGCATACCATGCAAGCTTTGAATTGGACAGCCTAATTTAAACAATGATTTTCTCTTACCAGATTTTATCACAGCATCTGTTGCATTTGAAGGAAACGTTTCCCAGTCCACACTACAGGGTTCAGATCCAGATGAAATACACCATTTTAATGTGTAGCCACAGGTCACGTTGGGGTCAGAATGCCAAGAAATGTAAATTCCATTTCCCATTGCAATTGCCAGCTCTGTTTTGACATTGTCTACAATAAAGACAGTATATAAAAAACATTAGATCTCAGCCCTGTATCTTTAGCTCAAAGGGCTTTCTTGAAGCCTGAACTACAGTTCTTAGAAAACAGGTATCATGAGAACACACATACAATGTGTTCACACTTGGAAAGAGGATCACGCCACTGGTTCTGTGAAATTGTAGTAAATTATACTGTACTTTTTGAAGCACTATAAATCAAGCTTAGACGTCCATAGTGAAGTCTGCAAGAGTAGTGCAGAAAGGAGATAAAAATTTCAGCAAATCCTCAGGTTTGGATACAAATCACCTTCTGGGGATAAGTTTCTGTTGCAGGGGTTCTGGTTTAAGTCAAATTGACAGCAATTTGGTAGAAGACTCCAGCTACTAATTCCTTTCATTCATCCACCCCCCCAAACACCAGGCTGTTAACTAGTTCCTACAGAACCTCACTTCCACCTATGGCCACTATTCAGGTGGGGCCCAGTAAGTCTTAAAGATCCCCTCCACGAGCAACCAAAATACTTGAACACCCCATCACATCTTCAGAACCTCCTCAACTTTCCTTGAGTTTCAATGTTCTTAGCCTTGATCCCTGTTTGCTTGGATCATCACATTTTATTAAAACTGTCCAGTCTAGGCAAGACTGACTTTAAAGGGAAAGGCAAACCTCAGTAATTAAAAAAAAAAAGTTGCAAAGAGAAACACCTTAATTCCTCACTGAGGCGTTGTGAATATTAAAGGGCTATGTAAATGCTGAGTGTTCTATGAGACCGTATGCTGTGTGCTAGCAGTACAACTGTTTGGAAGAAAATATCATTGCTGAATTGCCACTTAAAGCCATGTCAATTTCACCTCTTTTTGTATTCATTTCTCTCCATTTGATGGGACTATAAGGGTAAATGTATAGACAGGGCAAGTTCTTAAACTGTTAAAAAAACAACCCTGAAACACATAGTTTCTAAGAAGTTGAACATTCAAAGAAATCACAAGTTAGGGTGCTCGTTTTTTATGACACTTGCACAGTATTTTATTTCTAGAATTTTGTTAATATGAAATTAATTTACTGACAGCCGGCTCAATAGCATTCTCTCAGCAAAAAACAACACTGGATATTGAAGTGCTGTACGTGCATCTTTTTGCTGCAGTCTAGACTAGCAGCACAAATACTGCCACGAAGGAGGCCAGATAAGCACCCACATAGTAAGTTTGCTTCTCCTCCACTGTATCTTTTTAATTATGTTGAAAGCTCACATTAAGTAGGATATGACATAGGTTTTGCTTCCCTTTCAATTCTTTCATGAAACCTGTCTCGAGCATCAGAAACGTTTCTCTCTTATTGATGTTATAAACATGTACAGGATGCAGCCAGAAGTGACTGTATAGCAGCGTAATCCAGGTCAGTGGTGAGTCATGTTTCAAATAATTCCTATGTCAACTCGGAAGACAATTCAGAATGAGTATATGTTGGGTAACACCAAAGGGAAATTCAGTCTTCCAAATGTTACCTTTCCAGTACTATGCTGTAATAATCACAGAGTTCCGGCTGTCACCCTCGGTCACAGGCTACAGAGCTGAATTATCTAGAGAGTCCTACATTCTGCAGAGTCAGCTGCATTTGTTGCTCATGATGTGGAGTTATTAAAGTGATGCCATTAATTTATCTATCCTGCCCAATTCCTTTTCTTTCACATATGCAGTGATAAATTAATAGGAAGTGTCGCTATACAGGAGCTGAAGGCTATTTAGCCTGAGGACAAAACTCATTCTGGATAATGGGGGATCATGGTTACTGACATCCCAACTATCAATCTCAAACAAAACACATTTCTGCCTCAAGAGATGTGATTTTATTTTCAGAACTTCAGACAGAAAGTGCACAACTGTGATGTCTGTTACATGCCCACATTGGGTGTATGGGTCACATTATGTGCCTTAAGACAGGTCACAGCATAGGGCTGAGGGGCTAGGAAGCACAGCTTCTGCAGAGCTGCTACTCCCCGCTCCAGCAGAGTTGGGCGAGAGCTAGCAGTGCCTTGACTCTGTCTTCCCAATGTGCCAGACGACCCAGATGAATGGGAGTGGATGGGGAAGTAATCTGCACCAGGTATAGAGCTGACAGAGATTACTTTCTCCCTGGAGCAAGAGGGAACTGGGACCATGTTGTGATGTACGTGGTCTGCTCCTATTCTCCCTTCATGTGATCAACTACAGATGCATTTAGTTGATGTTCGAATCCCACAGAGTGGAAAACTGTTAAACAACTATGCAGCATTGAGGAGGTTCCACTGAAGAAAAACCTATTTTGATCCTCTTACATTTAATCATATTCATTTGAGTCAAAAAGATGGCACAAAAATAAATAAAACCTCCTAAAAGTTGAAGATTTGTGCCAAAGATTTAGCCTCTCCCTTGTTATTCCTGGGAAGTGTCCAGAAAACTGCAACACAGCAACCTAGCTTGTAACTGCTGCCTTCCTTCTATACAACGAGTATAATTTGCTGGTGAGACGCTGCACTTAAAAAAAGCAGTGACTGTAGATTGAAAAAAGCACTCGTTACTTGCGCAGATCAGCTAAATTTTCTGAAAAACAGCCACCCAGCTGCTCCACAAGCTTCGAATGTTTTAAATCCTTGAATCATGTACTCACCGCTTGGAAGATCCACACTAGTTATCCTAGAAGGGGGAGATAAGCCAGCATGATTTTTGGCTACAACACTAATTAAACAATCATTTCCCTCAAGTTTTATTTCAGTGCTGTTCAAGGGTACAGGGACTTCAAGCATTGTCTCTCGCAGGTAACATGACACTTCATGGGACAGTATTATTCCATTGGCTTCAGAAAGAAGTAATGGCTATGCAACAAAAAAAGCACAAATCACATTAAAACCAAACTTTTGTTAAAAATCAGGACACAGGATTACATGCATCTAATACTCAAGAGTTGGGATTACCAGGCAAAAAAAGTCAGTAAAGCAAGAATGTTTTTAGGAGTTAACACATGAGCACTGAAGACAACTCTCAAAAGGGACAAATTTAAGGAAGTTATTCTGTTTGTGAAATCCTACTTAATTCCATATGCAGCTGTTTTTAGTAATATCTTTTTTTTTTAATCTTTTTTTTTTTTAAAAGCATAGTCCACATTTCTGGAACAATGATGTTTTCGTTTAGGACACTAATTTTCTGAGTAAAAGCACTATAAAATATTTAAGAACAACAATTAGATTTACTGGCTATAAACTTTGCAGACATTAAAAATATGTAAGAAAAGCAACGGACACACACACACACACACACAGAGGTACATACCTTCCAAAAGACTGTTAGAGTTTCTCTGACAGGACTTCTCTCTCTCCAGATATCCGGTCCTCTTGCAGGAGCTAAGAAAGGAGATTTTACAAAATAAGGCAAACTTGTTAAGCATAATGACAGGTTTCAGAGTAGCAGCCGTGTTAGTCTGTATTCGCAAAAAGAAAAGGAGTACTTGTGGCACCTTAGAGACTAACCAATTTATTTGAGCATAAGCTTTCGTGAGCTACAGCTAGCTCACGAAAGCTTATGCTCGAATAAATTGGTTAGTCTCTAAGGTGCCACAAGTACTCCTTTTCTTTTTGTTAAGCATATGGCTTACAAGTTCAATATTTTGACATAAAAGACAGTTCAATAAACTTACGGGCTTCCAAAGTTGTGAGCTTTTTTGTCTCACTCCATTTACTCCATCTCCAGAAATGCTCAGAAGCTGAACAACGCACTCGGAACGTGTATGTGGCGTACGGATGTAATGCGTCCGCCCGAGCTCTGTAATTTGAGTTTTCTGCACCGGCCATTGAGACATTCCGCTGTTAAGAATTAATAGAATTCTATATGAAAACCTTTCCCCTGTCCCGTATCATGCTAGTACCATTACCTGGAAAATGTTTTTTAAAAGTCAACTACAGTATTAAAGTTGTACTATCAGGCATCTGTGTGATTATTTAAGAAGAATCTGTTATATAAAGTCTCGTGGGATGTAGTGTCTTTTAACGGGCAATGGGAATGTATGCTAAAAAGCTTCCAAACCAGAATATGTGGGGAAATAAATGTAAATGAAAGAAAATATATAGGGAAAATATTTTACATAAAATCACCGTTCACCAGTGAAAGTTTTTCAGGGGCCTATCATAAGAAGTTACACCTAGTATAGAAATTAAAATACCAATAACTACTTTAAAACGCATGTAGGTATATACTAAATTGTCAACATTAGATGCTGTATCCCATGTGATACTGGGAATTATCCTATACCATAAAGGAGAGTAATCACAATGCTAACAACACTCTCTCTGCTTTCCCAGCCCCCTACCATTTGATTCCCCAAAGTATTGCACTCTCTGAACCACCAGGAAGGACTGGTGGTCCACTGACCATAATTTGAATACCCCTTTCTTTTGAGCCGGTTCCATGAGGCTATATATGACAGCTATTATCACTGAACACTCTTTCTACATATGCATTAAATCCTGGCTCCACTGAAATCAATGGCAAAATCCCCACTGATTTCAATGGGACCAGGATTTCACCCGGGGTGCTCCTATGCTCAAGTGATGGGCATGGTATGAGAACCTGGACAGATAAATAACATTCTTCCTCTGTAAAATGGTGCCTGCACAAAGCACACCCAAGAAAAAACGCTTGACCAACATCCATATCATTCAAATAAAATATATACCAGTAACAGTATTCCTACTAAGTGCTCCTTTTTCCTTCGAAGGAAAGCAAACATAATCAGGTTTTAGTATAAACAGTCAATTGCATAGTATTGAGTTTAAAGCAGTTAAAACAGTGCATAATAGTGACACATATGCATACTACTATAAATGTGTACAGTGACTCAGTGCCAAGGCTGCTGTGAGAAATCCTGACCCTGGGAACATTTTTTACTGAATCTACTTATCAATACACATCTATCGTGGCTGCCAAGAACTGGTCTCCAAAGTGAATTTTAGTCTGAAATTAGTTATAATTTTTCTTCTAATCCAAATGACAAATAGAAAATGTCAAAAAGCCAGCAATTGAGCATATGAGTGGAAAAGCTTCTGCCACCGTCACCAAAACATCTTGCAGTATCGATAACAATTTCACATCTATTCCTTGATTACACTGTACCCTGTTCACTTATATTCTAGCACAGTGTTTCTCAAATGCGGCCATGCATACAGCCACCAGGGGCTTTTCGTGCGGCCACAGCCTCCTGGGTAGTGATGGGGGCAAAGCAGCAGCTCCTCCCGTGGGCCGACCAGCAAAGGTTTGTCCCTGCCCCCTTCTGGAGCTATAAACACTGTAGGAGCAGGAGATCAGTGGGAGTTCACTGCCTTCCTGGGCCTTCATCCATGTGGAGCTGGGCTCCTTCCCCCAGCCACAGAGTTTCATGCTCTGACCCCAGGCTCACCCCCCACCGTCGCCCTGGCCTCTGCTGCCTCCTCCAGCCCTCCAATTGCCACTGCACCTCCGCCCCCATCGCCCCACCCAGGGCTTAATTTGTCCCCCATCTTGCCGGGGCTGAGTAAGTCTGCTCTGAAAAGTAATATTAACAAATATACAAATATCGCTTTTCACAGTAGCAGACTTACTAACTAGCAAGTCTTAAAAAAAAAAAAAAAAAAAAAAAAGGCAAAACATGCAAAGCACCTTATTTGTGTTTCTATTCTGTTTAGGTCCAGTAAAGAATAGAGACAACTGTCAATAATTTTGTCTGGAAAAAAAACCTCTACATAAATACATTACAATGATTTGGACATGTATATATGCATTTTTATTTGTTTTTTCCTAACGTTAATTAAGTATTTTAGGGAAAAAACTGTCAGAACGGCCACCAGCAAGAGTTGGTGGCCGCATGCTGAGGCCACCAAAACATGTCTTGTGAGAACCCCTGCTCTAGCGTCTGGAGAACAAGGTAACAAAGCTACATCTTTTGTAAAGTTTTGGCCTGTGTTTCAATAGCAGCCGCCTAGGTCTAAACTTACTCATGTCTAAATGTCATTTCTTTCTGCTCTCCCCTCAAACCCTCAAGCAACCTGTATGGTTTTACTTGTGGTACTTAACCTACTAGTACTTTTTAGCACATTTTATAATTTTAATACAAAAGACTCAAAATCTCTCAAACCACAGAATACAAATCAAGATTTTGGAGTGCACAGTTTAGAAAGACCAGGTCAACACAGCTTTGAAACACTAGTCCATGAAGCTATATTTAAACCCAGAGACTTCCCCAGTGTAGTTTATTTAAAAAACAAAAACACAGACATTGCCAAAAAAAATGTTTTCTACTGACTACAGCAGGCTTTGGACCAGGCTCCAGGATATGGTAAAAGCTCTTTATCCCTAATACTTTCTGAGTTCTCAGGTGTTACACACTTACAGTAGATTTTTTTTGTAACGGTAGCTTTAAGAGATGAAGGGGGGTAATCTACAACCTTAAAAAGGGGCCAATTAATAAAATGTCTGGTGCTGCCAGCACAATAGAGCAGCTTTGCAAGGGACCTTACGAGTTTTTCTGGAGGCTGTAAAAATGTTAAATTAGGCTATGCCTGTACGTGGAGCAAAGGGGGTGTGTGATTCTCAGCTAGCGTAGAGATGCTCGAGTTAATACACTAAAAATAGCAGTGTCGGGGCTAACATGGGTGGCGGCTCAGGCTAGTTTCCAGGGAGTCCAAGCAGGAATGTTCTCAGGACAGCTAGCCTGAGCCATCACATGTGCTACCCCAACTACACTGCTATTTTTAGCAGGCTAGCTTGAGCAGGGCTAGTACAGGTATGTATATGTGAGCTCAGAATCGCACCCCCACCTCTAGTGTGGATCTAGCCTGAGAGGGACCTTTTATGATGGCTGCATGGGGGGGGGGGGGAAGTGACAGAACTCATAGTCACTGTACTGTGTGCATGGCCACTGAATCCCAATCAGCATCAAGTTCCAGGAAGTGTACCTCGCCTCTTCAACTTTGACTGAAATTTTGAGAACATCTGACAGGTGCTTTAAGTTTTCTCTAAATGACAGATATAGAGGACTTCAGTCGGGATATCCTACTGACACACGCGGCTCATCTCGCTCAACAGAAAAATTCTTCCCCTCTCATTCTTTATATCATCCACAGATTGCAGTAACGAATTGCTGAAATAGCTGACAAACACGTACACAGCATTTACTGAGATGCCGCTTACACCAACTGTAAAAGTGACTTGGAAACTGCAAGACTGGAATCTTAAAACAACTTCAAAGAAAATTTTCAGAGTACAAGAGTAGTGATAATGTGTGCATGAGTGCTACCTACCTCCCAAAGACACAACCACTATAGTCTATCGCCTAAAAGTGGCAATTTAATAAAGAGACATCTTCAGAAAAGCAATTTTGCAAACTTATGACAGAACTCAAATATTATGGCTAATTTTAATGCTTTGCAACGTCTCAAAACACTACTTAGTTTTAGCCTGTTATGACCTACCACTGCACTGTGAAAAGAACTGGAAGTAAACGTGACTAGAGCTTCTCTGTAAGCTTAGGTTTCAGAGTAGCAGCCATGTTAGTCTGTATTCACAAAAAGAAAAGGAGTACTTGTAGCACTTCAGAGACTAACAAATATATTTCTTATTTGTTAGTCTCTAAGGTGCCACAAGTACTCCTTTTCTTTCTGTAAGCTTAGGAGCTAGACTTTTGACATTTAACACAGTTACCTATTGGTATAACCTATCAGTTTCTCTTTTACTGGTACAAAATTGTAAAGAAATGCATTTCAATAAAACCAACATTTCAGCAGAGCAAAATTACATTAAAAATAATACTCACCAGTTGTCGTTCTGAATTACTGTTACTAATTTCAATTTGACACAAAAGTCTGATTTGAATAAAGTTGCCAGGTATATACCAAGACAGATGGGCATTTGTTGAACTATTAGCGCTCACAGTGAATTTATCAGGAGTTTCCAGATTAACTGAAAATTAAATTTATAAAGAAAATCAACTAGGATTTTTAAAGGTGATAAATAATAGCTTTATTATTATTTTTAATTCTGTAAGAAAAATCTTACTTTTAAAGTAGTCAAAAATAATCAACAGAACAGAACATTCATCAGATTGATAATTATTGTGACAGCTGAGTGTTGTTTTAAAAATCAAACAATATATATTAGTCTCTTGCTATGAAGGCACGCCAGCAAGCAGTTTTTGTCCATACTGAAAATTTGGCTGACACTCGTGGGAATAGTTTTATTTTAGTCAGAAGCAGTAATTGGCATAATGGCCCAAGGAGTTAAAAGTAAAATTACAGCATAACATTATTCCTGTTAACTGCTACTGATTTTACTATAAAATAGCTACACTTTCGAAGATCACAGTGGCTGTTTCACAAGATCATATCAGTATTTGATCAAACAGGAAATTAACCAAAAACATCCATAATTAATAATTGGAAAGTGGGGCAAAAATATAAAACTCATATCCTACCAAACATAGCAGGGCAATGTTACATAACACACCATTTCCCACCCAGCTCTTTTCATTTCTTCACCTCTTTTGTCCTCCTTCTATCTTTGGGTATGTCTATACTACCTGCCGGATCGGTGGGCAGCAATCGATCCAGCGGTGGTCGATTTATCGCGTCTAGTCTAGACTCAATAAATCGACCTCCGAGCACTCTCCCGTTGACTCCTGTACTCCACCGCCATGAGAGGCGCAGGCAGAGTTGATGGGGGAGCAGCAGCAGTCGACGCACCGCAGTGAAGACACCACGGAGAGTAGATCTAAGTACGTTGACTTCAGCTAAGTTATTCACGTAACTGAAGTTGCATAACGTAGATCGATCCCTGCCCCCTAGTGTAGACCAGGGCTTTGAATACTGGCCACAGATCCTCTATGCCTCCTGTTGAGAAGATTCTCAGCCACTGGACTCGATGTTTTTGGGAAATAAGCACACAATGCATATGCAAACCCTGCACTTTTCACACATCCCTGTATCTGTCAGGTGACCACTCTCTGTTTGAGAACTATCTGCACAGTAATAGTACCAATGAAGGATAGAAAGACTGCATGCAGAAGGAAGAGAACTGAAATGGCAGAGGGGAAATGGCAAAGAACAGCATCTGTACAACATTCTAAGTAGTTGAGACAATTCTATTTCAACATTACATAATATTTTGCAACTGCATTGCCAATTCAAATAATAAAGCTGCTGTACATGGAAAAATGTATTAAAAATGCAAGCTCTATAATAAACATTTAAATGCAATTTTCTATTTATTATTTGCCATTAAAGTTTTCAGGAGGAAAATATGAACACTGAAGTTGTTAGGACACAAAATGCATGCATGTGTTATGGAGGCACAGAAGGTAAGTTCCACATTTTATTGCTACTTTGTAAAGACATGATCCTGTTAAGACATATGCATGTGTTTAATAACATCATGTACCATGAGCAGATACATGGAAGTCACAGTGTCACTCTCAGTGCAGAAAGTTAAGGCCACCACGGCCACGCATAAGACTTTGCAGAATTGGGTCCTAATAATGTTGCAAATTTAGTTATTAGAATTGACTGGAATATTATGTGCCACGTAAATTACAGATATTTAGCTAGTTACTAGTGCATGCATAAGATTCCTCTCCTAACATGGGGCTAAGCTATATGGTTTCTGTGCAGATCTGTCATCTCACCACATCCTTACCCGCTTGTCGGCACACACAGTAGGGGAAAAAAGGACCTCTAATCCCAATTACTGAGAATCTAAACCAGTGAAGAAAATAAACCAAAACCAATTACAATTGCAACATTCCATATTAGTGCCCAATGAGTTATTATCTATTGCACTAACCCTCTATTTGATAACCCTTTTTGGTTTTGCACACTTGTTAAATGCTCACCTCTTTGATTTACATCAATTAAGAGCGATGATTCTGCTCGACCAAGAGGATTGGAAGCTCCTAGTGTGAAACTGTAGATTTTTTGATTAGCATGCACTGGAAAGTCACAGTGATGTTTCTTATTCAATTCATCTACTTTGCATGTAACATTTTCTCTAGATATTCTGTGAATTGAAAAAAAGATTATTTTTAATTTCTGAGCAACCCATTTAACAGCACTGAATTGAAGTTTCTTAGTACAGACTTCACTGGATGTAGATGCTAAAAGGAATGAATGGCAAGTCACTATGCCATTATTTAGTTAATGCAGTGTCATTATTTGCCTACCCCATGCTGCATTGTATAGTACATACAATTTAATGACACAATGTAGCTTGGATTGGCATTAGTCACAAAATCCATGGCTCCCAGCCCAAAGAGAATCCCTTTCCTTCTCCCTAGCACAACCTAATTCATCCTCACTTTAATTTTTACTTCCACCCTACTTCCTCAGAAGCCTGGGAAAATAGATAGATTCGGTAGTGAGCCCTGAGGTCAAAACTAGGCTTTAGAGTCCTGATTCAGGAAAATATCCATATTCAGGACAGCACTTAAGCACATGCCTATCATTAATGGGATTTAAGTATTTGCTTAAGTGCTTTCCAGAATCAGGAACTAGTTGACTCAGCAGAAGGAGTAGGTTCTAGTGTTAAGGTCTTTGCACTGAAGATGACCAATCACCAGCCCCTCCCCATCTAAATCAGAGTCAGGCACTTTGTGTACCTCAGCTGATCTCGGGTATCTCTGGGCCACACAAGGAGAGAAGTTGTCCATCCCATAGCCAAGACCCACATTATTTAGGTTTTTATATAATAAAGCCAAAATCTTGAATTGCATCTGAAAACAAACTGAAAGCCAGTGCCAAACAGAGAGCATAAGTGTAATATGATCTCTGTAAGCAACCAGCCATCCTCATCTATACTAGCAGAAATTTGAGTGGTTTTTAGGGGTAGCTCCATGTATTTGGGGCTGCAATAGCCCACTGTGCACTCAGAACAAGGATGAGAAAGCTTGGCTCAAGAGCCCTCAACAAATGTTAGGCAGCCATGATCACTGGTTTTTGTGTTGACCAGTCCAATCTCATTGTTTTCTTCTGCACCCGCACCTGTTGGTCTTATCCACCTGTTGTCCACAGTCTTACACTTAAGTTGTAAGCTCTTCAGGACAAGGATCTTCTTTTTGTCATGTTTGTACAGTGCCTACCCCAATGGAGCCCTGAACTCAAGGTTCTACCATAATATAAGTAATAAATAACTATCATCATCAAATGTCTTATAAAGAAATGTGCCCCCCAACCCTGACTATACTATCACCGTACTACTGCAGCACTATATTGCAATCACGTGATTCTGTCTTCAAGTAATTTAAAAATTAGTTCCAACTTCCTGTGTATTTTTATATTTATTTTAAGCTCTAAGCAGTGGAGAGTTTAAATGACTTGAGTGGGCATGCAGCAGTCATTCAGTATCCTGGGAAGCCCATAGTGGACCAATTTGTATTCTAACTTTTTAATCCTTCCTTGCTAAATGGCTTTACCTTTCAAATAAAATATACTTTGTTTGCCGTTGCCTGTACAGTCCCGTGGGTCTGCCTGGGTTCCAGCTACACGTTATAGTAATAAAGGTGCGTGTTTCACAGTTCAGGTTTTGTGGCGTATCAGGGGCATCTGTAGCACGGAAGTAAGACAAAACAATTAGCCTGCATGTTCACAGAATACGTCCTAACATAGAAGGTCAGACAATTGCTTGGAAATCTGTAAGCAATATTTTGTTTCCAGAACATGTAGCATAAATAAACAGTGACAATTATGCCCCAAACCTGCAAACAGTCATGTGTGTGCTAAATTTTAAGCACATTAACAGTGCCTATTGAAGTCAAGCATTAGACAATGGGATTACTCCTGTATTTAAAGTTAACCACATATATAAGTTTTTGCAGGATCAGGGCACTGAACTGTAAGCATTACACAATTTTACAAAACATGTTTCAAGATCCCAAACTGCACAATTTTGCCTCCAAGCAATTTAGGAAGGTTATTAGGTTGTGTGCCATGTTTTGGCAAGTGCAGGCCTCACTGTTGCTTAGAATCCATTTAAACAAATTATTCAAACAAGTGAACCCACATGCACTCTATGAAACATGAAATACTTAGTACATGCGCACACTGTATTTTATTTTAAAAGTTTCTGATTTTTTTAAGAAGACCACACATGTCATCCTCCTCCAAGATGCTTTACACGTCTCCATCCCCCACTTTCATTTAAGCTTGTCCCTCAATTCTAGACCCCAGGACTGCAATGATCATAATCCCTAGCATAGGATTGATGGCAGCTCTCTCCGTAGAAGAGTCACTGCAGAATGACATGCCATACTCCCCCTAGAAACCAGAAAAGGTAGAGCTGAGTAGCTGTGATGGGGATGAGCCTCTAGGGAGCTCCTTTCTCCAGCTGCTTGTGGGCATCTTTCCTCCCAGAAGCCAGGAAACCAGTTTCTTTCTGGCACCCCGGATGGGACGGGCTTCACACTGTGTTCGTTTGGTGTGAGTGGTAAGGATGTCTCAGTTAGGATTATGAGAGACCAATATTCCCTCTGATTTTTGACTGTCCATGTGCGCAAAAAATTTCTTCTGTGCAAATTTTTGACAGGCCGCGTGCGCAAAAAATTTCTTCTGTGCAAATTGTTGTGTTTCTGTTCAAATTGTTGTGTGTGCAGTGTTTCGCCGTGTGCACAGGGTTTAAGATCTGTGTGCGCACGCACACGCGCACAGCTGAGAGGCAACAGTGTGAGTGATGTAAGCGTACACAATGAATATAGGTCTAATGTGCTAGGGGAAGAGCACTTAGCTCACCAGAGCCACAGGTACTCAAACTGACATCTCTGAAGCACATATAAACACCCCGAGATAGAGATGGTGCACTGTCCCTTTCCCCTTTCTATCTGGCTTCTTATCTTGTCCCTTTCCCCTGCATCCCATTGTCTTGCTGGACTGGTGCCTCCAAACAAGATGTCTCCGCTCCCCTCATGGAGTAGGCGGCAGAGAGACAGGAGTTTGTAAAACGCTAGGAAGGAAGTGGCTTGAACACACTAGACCTTCAAGGATGGACACATCTGCAAACCCTTTGTGGGCTGCACTGTCACTGACCTACAGCCAATATTTTGTACATCCCTGACTTATATTTACATGTAGAGTTATCCATTTTAAAAATTCCATACGACTGGATGGTATATTAGAGGGATGTCCCCCCCGAAAAAAGGGTTCTTTTGTTTTTGTTTTTTTTAAATGACCTGTTTAAGATTCAAAATCAGTAACAGAATGTGCAGACTGAAGTACTAAACACACACCTTTAAAAACAGGTTTCAGAGTAACAGCCGTGTTAGTCTGTATTCGCAAAAAGAAAAGGAGTACTTGTGGCACCTTAGAGACTAACCAATTTATTTGAGCATGAGCTTTCGTGAGCTACAGCTCACTTCATCGGATGCATACCGTGGAAACTGCAGCAGATATTATATACACAGAGAGATCATGAAACAATACCTCCTCCGACCCCACTGTCCTGCTGGTAATAGCTTATCTAAGGAGATCATCAAGTTACACTTACGCCTGTTCCTTTTGCAAAGCCCTAGAATTTCTTTATTTGAGTCTGAAAGGGCAAATAGTGGGGCAAGAAAGCTAAGATGTAAAACCTTATGTTACCAGCATTTCCAGCTGAATCTCATTTAGTGTTAAACTACCAAAAATACACATTGTGGTGTTCAAAGTGGCAGGTTGAATGTTGAACTTCCCTATCCGGTGCAGTAGCTTTTGGGTGTCTTGTAATGGTAAAGAATCAAGTTCTAAAATTATTAGTTTCTCATGGAAAATATCTTTGAATGGAAAAACTTTAATCTGTTTTAGATACCAAATCATTAGCTGCTTGTGTAGGGTCATAAGCCTCAAAAACCTCCTACAAACATAATGACACCTTAAAACAAAATACTGCAAAATGTTTAGTTCCTCTTTCCCATAACAGGCAATTTCGGAGTTCTGTGCTTTTCCTGCAGTGGCAGAGGGCACCACTAACACCTTCAACAACACAGTGCAGCTCCTTGCCAGTTTTAGGTGTATATTGTTTGAACAACGGATTGTTTCTCTGCTTACTTGCTAGTCTCCAAGTTTAAGGTGGTGTTTATTTCCCCACTGCCTTTGATGTAATATACACCTAAAACTGGCAAGGAGCTGCACTGTGTTGTTGAAGGTGTTAGTGGTGCCCTCTGCCACTGCAGGAAAAGCACAGAACTCCGAAATTGCCTGTTATGGGAAAGAGGAACTAGACATTTGCACTATTTTGTTTTAAGGTGTCATTATGTTTGTAGGAGGTTTTTGAGGCTTATGACCCTACACAAGCAGCTAATGATTTGGTATCTAAAACAGATTAAAGTTTTTCCATTCAAAGATATTTTCCATGAGAAACTAATAATTTTAGAACTTGATTCTTTACCATTACAAGACACCCAAAAGCTACTGCACCGGATAGGGAAGTTCAACATTCAACCTGCCACTTTGAACACCACAATGTGTATTTTTGGTAGTTTAACACTAAATGAGATTCAGCTGGAAATGCTGGTAACATAAGGTTTAACATCTTAGCTTTCTTGCCTCACTATTTGACCTTTCAGACTCAAATAAAGAAATTCTAGGGCTTTGCAAAAGGAACAGGCGTAAGTGTAACTGGTTAAACAATGGCTCATCTTCAAGCAAAGTGTTCTTGGCCATACAAATGGTGACTCTGGAAATGCAACAGGCAGAAGAAAGAGCTTCTGACAGTCACAAAAACATTCTGCTAGGTGTCAGAGTTTTCGCTGCTAACATTTCACACTTAGGCAGGGTACTGTACATATATGATGGGCAGAACCCAATAAAATAAGCGTGGTAATGACTTATGTGTGCATGAACAGTCACCACTTCTTGACAGACCAAAAATCAGGAGAGGGTCCTCTTCTATAACATGCCTGCCCCTCTTCAGTGATCAGAGATAATCAAAATGGATATAAAATTGATATTTTGGTTTATAAACTTGGCTAGTGGGAAGTTGAGGATGGAGACACTTATCCCCCACCCTGGACACTGGGGGGCTTTCTATACTCCACTCTCAGGTGGGTAAGGATGCTCTCAGCAGCTCTCTACCTCTCCTCCTTGTCTCTCCCCCATCCCACATACGCTCATCACAACTTTGATGGATCTGGGGCATCTCCAGTTGCTCTCCCCCATGATCATGAATAGCAGGGACATGATGGCTTTGAGCTGCCAGGTTATACTGGAGATTATCTATTTCTATTATGTTTACACTACATCTTTATCACTATGGCATCTGAGCATTGGGGGAGTTAACTGGGTCATTACAATAAAAACCAAACATCCCCCCACCGTACCCCCCAAATGTAACCTATCCTTGGAAACCAGGTAGGCCAAACTAAACCACTGTTTTAAAAGCAAGAGGGCTGGAGTCATAAAACCTTTTAGTTTCCTACTTATATTTTGATTTTATCAAGGTGAATAAACCATAGTGAACCTCATTTCAGTAACAGTATGGTATACTTACATCCTACAAATAATACTGTTCCTGCCGCATTATCTGGCAGCAGTGAGCACCATACATTTGTCCCACTAGAAATTGAAGCACTGACATTCTGCACTTTGATTGCACTGCTCCACTTGCTGAGGTGAAGGAGTGAATAACTTTTTGATCCGTATTTCATGTATTTTATACTTTCCCCTTCGTTGTATAAACAGCAAAATGTGACATTTGAGCCCACTAGTACCACTTTGTCTTGAGGAAAAACCACAGCACTACTGAGCTTAGTATCTTTTCCTAGGAGGAAGAAAAATAATACATGATCAAATGATTTTTATAGCTCAGTAAAGTAATATTACTTTCTTATATATTCAGCTGGTCAGTGCTAATACAAAGTAGGAGCACTCAGGCTATTCCGTTTTGCATAAAAACTCTCTTGTAAAATGTACAGAAATCTATTTTTAACAAGTTTCACCCACTCAAAACATTTGTTACTGCACTTTACACATCTTTACATATTTAACTGAAACAGTCCCACAAGATCTACAATTGTCTATCAACTTTCAGAATTAAAAGGGAATATTATTCATTTAATGTTTATTTTTAATTCAGCACAATTTTAAAAGTAGCTAAATTCTGTGCAACATGCAAGAAAGTAAACGTACCAGGAACTGTTTTAATTGGGCTCCATTCACTCCATTCCTTCCTACCACTAAAATATGGATCATTAATATAACATCTAATTTTCACATGGTGTGAAGTACACTCCAAAGGTATGTCAGATGTCCAATTCCAAGAAAGAATAGAGTCTTTGCCAGTCAATTTTGAATCATAATTCATCTAAAAAGAACAAATAAAGCTTTTTCAAAGATAGACATTACAGGCATTACAACCTAAGTTAGTACTACTTAGAAAATGGGGTTTCCCCCCATAAAAATTTTGACCCCAAAACCCCCCATAATAATGAAAAAAACCCATATATGCTGAAGTTTTCCAAGGAAATTTCAAATTTTTGGCAAAAGTTTCAACTGAAAAATGTCAAATAGGAAATGCTGGCATAGTCCCTCATGCCCCATTCTCCTCTATGTGCCGGGCTCCCTACCTGGACCAATATCCCATGTACCACAGACTCCCCTTGTGCTAAGCCGCCACAGTGCCTCATGGAAGGTGTCATCCAGCTAGGGAACCCAACCCATAGAGGATAATAGTGTCAAGAGACACTGTGATGGCATTTCTGTATACAAAGTTTTCAGGTTTTGGACAAAGCCAAAGCCAAAACCAAAACCACTTTGGTTTTCAAGTGTTTGTTTAATGAAAAGTTGAAGTCTTTCATAGGAAGCAGACACTTTATGAAACACTTTATTTAGCCCCAACTCCTCCCCAATTTTCCATTGAAAAGCAGTTTTAACAGAAAATTTTTAACCACTCCTATTAGTTAATCACCAAAGATTTGTAGCGAGAACTAACTGGTAAGCAGGGATAGTCTTTCAGTGCTGTTTATTATATTGTAAAGTTGTATTCCAATGCTGGCCACAATTTTGGCCAGTCTGCATTGATCAGCCAACTCTACTAGAAACTGTTTTCAACTGGTGTTTTTTTTTTTTTTTGGTTTTTTTTTTTTTTAAAAGCATGAGTAGAAAGCAGTCATCCCAGCCTGGCCTCTTTACCAAGGCCCTACCCTACCTCAAGACTGGAAAACATGCTGGCATCACAGGAAACATATTAAACCTGGATCTTGATAGAATGGTGCTAAGTCAATAGCTAATTACAGAACTAAACTAAATTCTTCTCATTTGGGCTTCTAAATACTGACAAACTACTCAATTGTGCTGAAAACATAATTACATTTTACATATAATAATATCTCTGAACAACATATGGACATTTTAAAAGTTCATTAATTATGGCATAGGATTTAGTCTGAAGCTGGAAAATGAATGCATTTTAAAACAGACAGTTTACTACTAGAGAACAACTTAAATTTACTGTTCCTGGTCCAGTTCTAGCTTAGGAAATTCATTCAACCCCCCATCTACATCCAACTCTGTAAGATATCCTTTATTTCCTGACCTAAATTGTTCGGTGGTTTTGCTGTGCACAATTAACAACTGCTATGTTCCACCCAAGCAGTGACTACATTTCAATGTTGGGTGAACACACACACACACACACACACACACAGAGCAAGGTGCTCTGTAAATGTTAAAAAAAACTGTTTCCTAGAGTATTCAGATATAAAAAGCTTCATCACAAACATTTTAGCCCTGTACGTTTTTTAGATATTCATTCTAGAATGAAATGTTTCTGTTTTGTGGGTGTCTACTCTGCCTTCAGAGAGCCTTTAGCACATATCACAAAGTGGACACAAAACTAATACAGGAAGTGTTGTTATTCAGCAGTGTTTTCTTTTAGAGGGAATTGGCACTGTTTAAAATTTGCAATATTGCATTAAGTTTGCTGTGGTCTTTCTACTTCAACAAACTGACTTAAGTTTTTCTAACTTTATACAACTTCATTGACGGATGAAATGTAAATCTGTGATCACTATATCAGAACTTAATTACCTTTCTTAAAGCCTTGAATTAGCTGTAATTCCTCCACCCGCACAGTACCCCCAGCTCACTTGTATTCCAATACTGAAACAAAGACTCATTTGCAATCACTGATAGTGAAGAGTCCTTGTATGAAAAACTACAAGAAAGTTAATCTTTATTTGTTAGAATAAAATACCTGCCTTACTGTCTCACAGACTTTAAGGCCAGAAGGGACCACTGTGATAATCTAGTCTGACCTTTTGTACATCGCAAGCCACAGAACCTTACCCACCTACTTCTGTAACAGACGCATAACCTCTGGCTGAGTTACTGAAGTCCTCAAATCATGATTTAAAGGCTTCATGTCTTCCCTGACCAAATAAAAAAAATTATACTGATGTCATCCCCTTATCATCCCCAGCCCTCTTCCTTTAGTTTTGTCACTCCCTTCACTGCATAATATTTGGAATTAGGTTGTGAGCTCTCTGGGTGAAATCCTGTTCCAACTGAAGGCAATGGCAAAACTCCCATTGACTTCAATAGCAGCCACGATTTCACTCCATGTCATCTTATCTGTGATGTGAAGCACCTACTATACTTCTGGATTATCTGAAAATAATAATATAAAAAGAAATTTAAAATCAGATCACTATGTGAATTAAATTGGTTTGGTTATTTTAAAAGAGCAATTCATGATCTGAGTAAGTCCATGCTTGCAATCTACACTGACACACAAGAGGAGAATACAGGCAAGCATTTCACTCCTATTAATCACATCTAAGGAATCAAAATACAGGACAAGATACTGCAAATACTTACTACTCATGCATTCAGCACTGTTAACAGCAATGGGACTCCCTGTAGGAGGACTACTCATGTGAGCAAGAGTTTGCTGCAGGAGGCCCTTACGCATTAGCCCAAACTAAATATTGTACCAATGTTTTAACAGTTACAGCATCTAGATAGGAAGTCCAGGGAGGTACCTGACAGGGGATGGACCTGGTGATGTAATATGCCTTTTCTTATCTGTAATTGCAACGATCATCTACATACCCTAGTGCACATATTTTCTCAATCATTAAACTTACAGAACAAAGTCACGTGTTGACAAAAATCTGAAGAACTACCATCCTCCAAATGTTTGTTTAGTTTATGACATTACACAATACCTTTATAATACGCACTATATTTACAGAGTACTGCATTAGTTGCCAATGAAAGTAATCAGCCATTTGAAAAACAGAAATCTTTCACAGAATACAATACAATATACTTAATACAGTTTTGAGGAACCTAGGAAACAGCACTGATGAAGAAAGCTTTTTATTACTCTGAAAGGAAAGTACAGGGGCTTTCACTAGATCTGGAATCTCCTTTTTGGAGACTACAAAAGGAGCATTAAAACTTGACTATTTAATAGCACTCTTAAGGCAGTCACCAATCAGGAACAGAAAACAATGAAAGACCAATTTCATAAGGAAAATGTACCTCCACAGCAAAGACCCACAAAAAGTAAGATCTACTGGGAAAATAACATCCACTGGGAGATTATATTTTTCTTTTTTAAAGTAACTCTTTCCCATAATGATGATGAACTAATTTCTTATGGGCACTTTCTAAAAATTCAAAGACTGCAATTGTCATTGTTATGATCCTACCACATTTTATATAAAATATTTTTAAAATGTAAAATTGAACTAAGCAGAATTAACGTTTATGAGATGAAAACTTTACAGCACGTCATGTAAAGTATTTCGATTTGGCTTGTTTATAGAAAATTTTACATTTATCATTTAAAACAGAACTGGCAAGCCATGCCCTGGGTCGTGGAGTAATGTAGGTCATCCTAAAGAAGCTGTTAGGAAGATAAGATTAATCCTTTAAATCAACAGTATGACTGGAAAAGTGGTTTGGGATGGAATCTGAATTGCCTGCTTTTGAGCCTGCTGCGTTGAACCCAAAATCTGGAGTTCAGGTTCAGTGGCTATTCTGATAAAATGAGTGACTAACCTAGAAAAATCTCCCCTCCCAGTCGTCATCTCCGGTGACAAGAACGTTGGACTCATTCTACTTGCTACCCATCCCACCAGCACTGAGCAACCACAACCTATTGAGTTACTTAAACAGCACTTTTCACCATGCTATCTCACTGGTACGGACCTGGCAGGCTGACACATTCAAAGTTATGCACCTTGGATTTAACTGGCACACCATCCCTGGGCCTACAGTGAGGGAGGGCTTGTCCATGCAGCCTTGGCTCCAGGAGGTGGTTGGCTTTGCAGTGCTGCAGAACCAAACAAGCAGGGGAGGGGGCAGGTGGGGCCATTAATGGGCATAAGATACCTGCACAACTCTTACAATAACAGGGAAGGGAAACAGTAAAATTCACTTGGTTCTAAATGGCACTGGCACTGCACAACTGAACAAAAACTGCTGAAGCTGCCAGTGCCGTGTGGAGTAAGTGCAATAGCCATGGCATGCCTTTCTCCCTATCACTTTCAGTTGTTTTAGTGCTAGGAGGTTCTCAAACACTAATAAAAATAAATGAACAACACCTATGTATAGCATGAGTCCGTAAGGTCTGTGTCCATGTTTTCCTGAACTCTCCTGCTTGTGTGACCCCTCCAAAATGTATGGGGGGGAGTGGGGGTAGAGAGGGGAAATGCATTTTCATAAAAAAAGCGAAAAAGAGGACTTACTAGTGTCACTGTCTCCATTGTTTCCTTACGCAGAATCTGAATCTGCCAGCTGGCATCTAATTCATGTTGGAAGACTGAGCCACTATCGTTCCACTTCATATATAATGTGTAAGTTGAAAAGTCGGCATTCAGATTAAGAATTTGGGGGGTGAGTGGAATAAGTGCTTGAAAAGAAACAAGGGAAAAAGCATACATTCAAAATAATTACCAGCAACAGCGCTTACAGGTGTTTAATAGCTGCAACTCTGAACTGGCCTGCTGCCATACCAATGTGAGGTTTGTTCTCATTAATTAAACTGGGTTGGGATTTGCCATTCCTCATGTAGAAAGCTTCCCAAGAAAGCACAGAAACATCCTCTGAAGTTTTGTTGGTGACTCCGCAGGCAGCATTTCTCTTGCTACATTAGGGGTGCCAAGTGCGATCTCCTCCAAGCTGCTCTAACACGTCTTTCCCACAGTTTTCTGTCAATGATTGGCTGAGAAAAATCTTTTCTTCATCCTAGCCCCTCTACCTTTTGTATCTATACAAATGAGACTAAGAGTCTCAGGATTGGCACTTGTCTAAATCATAAATTGTTGTGAATGCAAAGTAACGATCCTTCCGTGTTTGTCAGGAAGTAGTGTGCTCTTGGAGGGGCTGTTCTTCACTTGAGATAAAATAGAGGCCCTTTTGTCACTAAGGTCTCATGGTGCTTTTTGTGAAGTGTACCTATTCTACACAATTCCAAGTTGGGAAAAATATATTTTAGTTCCTTCTTCCCCTCTGCTTTAACTAGAGCAGAGGTTCTCAAACTTCAATGCATCGTGACCCCCTTTCGACAATTACATGCCCCCATGAGGGGGAACCAAAGCCTGAGCCAGCCCAAGCCCCAGGTGGGGGCGGGGGATGGGGAGAGAGACAAAGCCTTCAGTTCCAGTCAGAGGGCTGTAATCTGAGACCCAATGCCCAGGACTAAAGCCCTCGGGCTTCAGCCCCAGGCCCCAGCAGTCTAAGTCAGCCCAGGCAACCCCATTAACATCGGGTCGCAGCCTACTTTGGGGTCCCGACCCACAGTCTGAGAACCGCTGAACTAGAAGGTTTTTTCCCATTTCCCCTTCTAAAAATGGTTGTTTATAATACTCATTCCAGAGTGACAGTTCCAACATGGGTACATTTCTAGGGGAGATGACAAGATTATATCTACGTTCTGTACACTGCTATGAAACCCATTAAGGAGGGAGGCAGCCCTGAGGCCAGCGCTGTGCAAGAGAAACAGCATGTCATTCCAGGGTCCCACGTCAGGAAGTTAGCTTCAGTCCTGGGGCTCTGCTCTCCAGCCACACACCAACTCAGCTATTCTCTCCACAGCCAACCCTAATTGTTGTGCTTCCTCCCTTATTAAGTTCTACACCCAGCACAGGTGCAGCAAGGCCAAGCTAATTAAACAAGGCCTTACAGGGCAGGCCACCCTATTACAGATTGTTTTATTTTGCTTTTTTGGTCCTAGCAGCTGTGAGAGAGACAAAGGAAGATATCATTTCCCCTAAAATGTTGTGAAAAAATGGGCATAAATGGTGCTCAAGCAGTGATGGTTCAAGGAAATATCTTGGAGGTGAGAATTACCACTGATGATTTTTTTTTTTTTAATGTAATTCTCCTACCTCATCCCCAAACAAATTAGCCTGAGGGAATAAGTTGTTTTCTATCATGGCATCAAATACCATACTTGGCTACCAAAATATGCATTTAGCAGAAGTGCCTGTGCATGGTGGAGCACGGGGGTGTTCTGCATCTCAACAAGAGAAGCTCTTTATACAGGGAAATGCTGCCAAAGACAACTATTAAATCATCGTATCCATTTCCAGAATGTTATAGTTAAGTGTTCATATAAAGCCATTATACATAAACTTGATACTTACAAACATTTTCCTCAGGCAATACAAATGTTTCAGTAGCTAAAGGAGTTCCAGAAGCATTTAGTGTGGTTATCTGTATGTTAGTGGAGCCCATTGCCACTGGAATATCTGCCCTTTTCTCCCCAGTTTCAATACACACTGGAGAGAATGGCTCACTGAAACAATAATAAAGAAGAATTAGAAAAGTTCTCCATGTATTAGGAAGTTAGAGAGCTCCCTACTAAATTTAACATTGCAAACCTTTAAAGGTCCAATTTATTCTCAGAACAAAACTGTGAGAGATCAGAGTCAAATTTCAGAAGTAGTAAGACTTGGATAAGCTTTGGCAAAAGAAAGAAAGTTAAAAATTGTGATATTTTATTCAGAACACTATTCCAACCCCTTACTCACTCCAGACAGTATTTTTATCAAACGCCACAAAATAGCTTTGCGTTCTGGCCTTTTTTGCTTTTCTCATAACTTTTTGTGGTGAGGATGTGGGTGCAGAAAGGATGTTCATTCCCATCAGGGGACAGAGCTGGTGCTTCCTTTTGGGCTTTAGCCTACAGGGGAATAAGGGGGTTAATAAGAACATAAGCGGTTTGGCACAGGGGACGGCCTTTTTTGGGGTGGGGGGGCGGTATATGTAGAATGCTTGGCACAATGAGGTCCTGGTCTGTGACTCCTCAGCAATGCACATAATTAAGGCTACGGAGGTCACAGCAGTCACGGATTCTGTGACTTTACCAGACTTCCATGACTTCCAAGGCTTCAGGAGTTGGAGGTGGGACTGTGCGCCTCTGCCCTGCAACTGGAGCTGGCTGGAACCAGGACCCTGCAGCCCCAACCCTGCAGCTTCCACTGGGAGCTGCAGCCAGGGCCATGCACCCCATCCCCGTGGCGTCCTGGGCTTGGCGGGCCCCGCAGCCAGGGCCGTGCGCCCCATCCCTGCGGCGTCCCGGGCTTGGTGGGGGCTGCAGCCAGGGCCACACACCCCAACCCTGCAGCATCCTGGGCTTGGCAGGGGCTGCAGCTGAGGCAGTGCACCCCAACACCGTGGCTTTCGCCAGGGGCTGCAACTGAGGCTGCGCGCCCCTGCCTGGCGGCTGCAGCTGGAGCCATGTGCCTCACTCGTGGCTTCCCAGGGCCATATGCCCCCACCCTGGCTGCAGCCAGGGCTTTGTGGGGGCGGGGGCACTGCAGCTGTGACCAGTGTACCCCTGTGCCGCAGCTGCAGCCAGCTGTGGAGCACAGGCTGTGTGCCCCCCATGGCTGCATCTCCCGCTGCGGCTGCTGATGCTGAGGCTGTGTCCCCCACCATGGCAGGGGGCTCAGCCTGTCAGCCGCCCACTCCCACCCTATGGGACTCCATTCCCCCCCCCCCCAGGCCTAGCCCTGCCCCCTGGTTATTTTTAGTAAAGTCACGGAGAGGTCATGGGCTCCGTGAATTTTTGTGTTTTGTCCCTGACTTTTACTAAAAAATAACTGTGATAAAATCTCAGCCTAACACATAATTAATGATAGATTCGATGGATAGATAGGATGTGGCTTGAGTCCTCACTCTCCTTAACATTTCATATGTAACTGGAGAGGAGAAAGAGATTGGAAAGTGCCCAGATCTTCCTCTCAGGGCTGGGGGGGAAAGGAAAAAGTCATAACAATGCCCAACTTCCTGCTAATTAACTATTACTCACTTAAATGGGACCCTGGAGCTTTCCCCTTTTGAAGTGGTTTAAATAAGAGGACTTGGGGAGGTTTTTGGGCTTACCCCCGCAGTCCCTGACTGATCAGGCTAATACACCCTGTTGAGTCTCAAGTGCTGAAGAGGACTAACCCTCCCCCAGTGCAGAGACATTTCCAAAGGGATCTTGGCCACAGAGTATGTGGAGAGCATCAGGTGAAGGTCTGGAGGACGGGATTAGCTGTGGCTGAGCTCCCTTTCTGTGGATCCCAAGAATGTCTCCTCACCTTATTGCTTTCTGTGCCACCTGCCTACTCCACCATGCTAAGGGAAAGGAAATAAACAGAGGCAGCAGCTCACTGGGTGATCTTGTTCAGGATGCAGTTGCTCCTTCAAACAAGATGGTGGTGAGGGGATTCATTCAGTTCACTACTGACACACACACACACACACACACACACACTCTCTCTTTGCAAACTGGGATGGCAACTGAAAATTCAGGCACACTAAAGTGCCACTCTCTCTGCACCACTGGAGGCAGAGAACCTGGTGTGTGAGGTGGGGAAGGAGTGCAGCCAAGCCCTGGAGCTGCATGAACAAGTCTGAGCTGTCTTCACTACTCACAGGAAGAGAGGCATAGCACAAATATCAGCACCGAGGAAGAAGTCAGGATCCAGAAAAGACTTCAAACCTCATGCCTAGTGCATGACAGAAAATTGGCAGATTTTCATTCTGGTGAGTTACACATGGAACGCACGAAAGTTCTAGAGATGTGTCTGAAAATATTACACTTTTTTAGCGTACCTTAAAAATCTAAACTATACTCCATTTCAAATAGGCTATTTCAATTTTGTTTTCTACTCCAAAAGCATTTATCTTCAAAAGGGATTTAATATTTAAATTGGTAAAAAAAAATACAGCCATTAAGGGATTTTACTTAGATGTAATCTAAGTTTCCTAAAGGCATTTTCATGTCTGAATCTTAATGCTTAAGGTTCCTGGTATTTCAGCACAGAACATATTTCAGGCATTTCCTTTTGGACTGAACCAAACTATGAAGATAACCTTTTGAGAACTGAAAACAAGGGCCATATGGACACTTTGAGAATTCAGAAGTAGGAGTGTGAGCACTCCCTACCCAATGTGAGGGGGTAGCAAGGTGTTCTGGCAAGAGAATCTTTGGCATACAGAGGTCCTTTGCAGGGAAGCTTACAATTGCCCAATTTAGAACTGAAAACATTCAGAGCAGAAGACACCATTCTAGATGTAACTGACTGGTGGACAGACATGCTCTGAGAAACGCAGGATGTTACAAATTTTATGAATATGGATTGAAGAACAATAATACATACATAATTTGATAAGAAGAAACAATTACCTGTTTGTATAACAGATCTTGTAAGTCAGTCCAAGGTTTGCACTGGAGGTGGCATCCCAGGAACAGATCATTCTGTTTAAGTCATGTGTGATACATTTCAAACTCCAGGGTGCTTCTGGAAAACCTGAAATTGCAACATCTACATAGTTACAATGTAACAATTTAATGCTCTCAGACTGATGCTCCATCAGATATACACATTTTACAGATTACCTCACGCTCATTTACAATACTTTTAAACTTCCATTACATAGTTGCAGGCCAAGATTTTCAAACATGACCAATAATTTTGGGTACACAACCTGAAACACCTTAAAAAGTACTCATCTTTGGAGGTTGGGTTTTCAACAGTTTCTGAAAAATGAGGCTCCTCTAAGGCTGTCTCAAGTTGGGCGCCCAAAAACTGAGGTGACTTTGTGTTTTGAAAATCTTGGCCCTTGACTGGTTCTGTATATTAGAGTCAATGGTATTACACTAAAGCAATAAGAGTAGCAGAATCTGGCTCCATGTTACGAGCAGACTCCCTCTGGTTGGGTCCGCACCATGGCCTCCATGAAGGGAGTACACAGAAGATTCCTGCACTCAGACACATAAACCTGTTAGTCAATTCTCCCCTTCCACTCCTTTTCACACACAGAGGTGAGGAGTTTGTGCCGTTTTTGTTTAGTTTAATGCCTGGGTCAATTAAATTCCTATTGAACCACAAAAGGACCCAATCCTGAGAGGTGCTGAGTAATGTCAATTCCCCTCCATGCCTGAGGGGTGTCAATGAGAGCGGAGATTGCTCAGCATCTTGCAGGATCAGGTCCTAAGTGGTTCTCCCTCAGCATTTTGATTTGACAAGTGAATTCTGCTTGGGAAACCCTACAAAAGTTGTGTATATCCAATACACTTGCTTTGAAATAAAGTTTTAAAATCCCAACTTTCTTTTAATTGTTTGTAGTTATTGATTTTGTTGAGTGCTCAAAGGAAGTTGTCAGGAAAAAAGTAAAAGCTCTAGTTCATAGCTGGCCACATCACTATTGCTTAAAAAAATAAAATAAAATAAAAAAATCCAAGCTACTACTGTGCCTCACTGCAAATTAAACAAACAGCTTTCTACCACTGGGTGTGATATGTGCAGTGCAACCTATCCAGCTTTGACCTGGACAATTCAGCTGCTGTAATTCTGGTGAACTGGACTTGTTTGGCTTCTTGAGTTTTCAGTAATTCGAATACTTCAAACATACCTACACAACTTGAGAGGAACAAGGCACAACAGAATCCCCTTTACTACATTAAAGCTGAATGTAGAATACTTAAACAGCTGGGCCAGGGATTCTGTTACAGCCTCTGGGTGTAGCTGTGGCCTTCTACAATGGATCCCTCCATTATGTGCAGGGTTTGGGCCAGTGAAGTTGCATCTTGCATATATCCTGTGTCCAAACCCCCAAACTCCACTGGTCAACTTACAATACTCTCCTCTACAGTCCAGCCTAGACAGCATTGCTCTACGGTGCGTGGAGCTGTGGAACCTCCGTGTGCAGGCTCTATGCACAGCAGAACTGCAGTGGGCCTGAGTGTCTGTTGCCCTGCAAATTGTGGAGTCATTTACACCAGTGAATGTAAATTGCCGCCATTGTGAGGTAGAAGCACCCAGCTTTGCACTGGTGTTAAAGGCTACACAAGATGCAGGAAATTGGAGCATTAGATCCAGCATTTCTACTCTTAAGATCTTTCATTCCTAGAGAGGCAACATTATTTGACCCGGAGTACATAATAAATGCAGCACATTTATAGAGTAGGCACATATCCTAAGAGCAAGCAATCTAGCAAACAGTATCAAACTACACTTACCTGTCTCCTGACTATATATTAAGCTCAGCAAATGTAAGAAAGCTATTGCTAGGAGACATCGGAGACTTGGATTATCCCACATTCTTTTACCATTTACTATTTAGGATGACAACCTTAAGCAGGAATAAACTTCATCTTCCACACAGATTTGCCAGTTCTGAAACCAAAACCAAAACAAACAGTCTCTTTAAAATCACTGACACCCCCTGTTATGCAGCAAATAATACAAGTTTTCTATAGATGTATGATTGTACAAGACTGAAATGCCGGACATATTACTTGTACAGATGCAGCAGTTACTTTAAAAGACCCTGACAAAAAGTTAATAAAGAACATAAAATCACTCCAAAAAGAAACCCGGACCTGTAAGTGGACATTCCAAATGGGAAATCACAAAAGTAGAGCTGGTCAGAAAATGTGACTTTGTCTAACCCCATGAAAAAAATTTCAACACAAATGAAAAAAAAATATTTTTTTTTGAAGAGCCAGCTTTTTATTTTAAAAAGTTGAAGTTTTCTGTGGAAAATATACACATTCCATGGAAAATTTAGTTTTGCTGAAAATCCTATTTTCCACTGAAAAGCAGTTTTGGTTAAAAAAATTTAAATTGCACTACACAGAAGTCTTTTGCACAGAAAAAGAACCACCACAAGAGAGAGACCTGACATACCAAGTCATTGACAACTTCCACTATATCTATTTAGAGTATCCTAAAATTGTTGTAGGAAGGAATCTTTCTAATAAAACAGCAAATTCTTACATAGATACCATGAATATTTCTTGAATTGAACCAGACAAGTACTGCTGCAGTACATGCTCACAGAAATCCCAACTCTATCCTGATAAGCAAGCGCAGCCCACATTGAATCATTTAAATACTAGGCCACCAAATTCTTAAATTCTTACCACCAAAAGCACTAATGGTTGGGGTGGGGGTGGGGGGTTGCCTTTTTTTTTTTTTTTTAAACCTGAGAGAAGTATGTAACTGGTGAGTTACAAGAAAGCCAATGACAAAATGTGGTTCTCCAATCCATACGCACAAGGTAACAATTCACTTATTTTCTTCATATACCTCCATTTACTTAAATCTTTTTCATCAAGATTCAAGCTCCTCACTCGCTCATGTTAACATCTCTTGCTCAGTATCTCTGCTTAGTATAGCTTTCTCTCTCTCTGCCTATAAACTTCTCCCAAGTCTCTTGCCTAACCACATCTTTTATTTTCTCCACTTGTCTTCCTCAGTACTGCCCTCAGGCCTTTCTTTGCTTGTCAAGCAACCTCCCTCACCTTGCTCATACTCCTTCTTAGTACATATTTCTTTTACAAGGACTTTCAAAGATAATTTCAAGTACTGTGTGCATGTCTAAAATTCAATTCCATGTATACTTGTCCTTCAGTGGATGTTTTATGCTGGAATAGGTTTGTATGCAGATTATGTTAGGACTGTCAATTTAGACTAAGCTGCTGGGAGAGGCAGAAAACATTCCGCTCCATCCACGCCTTTTAAAAAAAACATCCCTATGCATGCTGGCACTCAAATGGTCTCAATTCGCTGGCAGAAGTAAATAAACAGTTGTCATTTCTTAACCAGTGTTTCTTTGCAACTGTATGTCAACCTCCTAACGGTCAAAACTATCTACATTTTTGGCTGTATCAGTGGACACAATGTTATTTTAGGACGTGTGAATTGAGGGTTTTACAAAGCGACCTTTTCAGTGTTCTGCAGTTTCTCTGGAACAAACTTTGTTTAACCCTTATTCATGTTTAATAATTAGCTTCTGTGTCAATTTTTGCTCCTAGGGAGGAAGATGGGAAAAGTTTACCCCCCAACACCTACCCCGTCCCTGCGGCACAGACACATTTGTTTTCTCCTTAATGCTGGAAAACTTTGAAAACAGAAGACTGAACACATCTATGAACATCATGGTTGCAGTACAGGATGTGGCCTTATTATACTGAAGAACCATAAAAATTAGACGAGAAAGACCTAACAAGCATATAATCCAACCAGTCCATTTCCCTGCAAATCCAGAATAGTTCCCTATAATCCATTTACTAGTATTTTGTCCAGAATACTTTTAAAAGTCCCTAATGACAGAATTTCAATTCTCATCTTAGGATAGTATTTCCCAAACTATGGGTCCCAGGAAGGTTCTAAATGGGTTGTGGACCCAGGATGGAGGGGAGACCTGGGAAGGTGTGGGGTTGAGGGTGGAGAGTAAGCCCACCCCCCATTCATCCCACAGCAGTGGCTCCTGTCCCCACCGGTATGGGACAGATCCCTGCTCCGGGAATTACAACCGGGCACACAAGATCTCATAGCACAAGTGGACAGGCCAAACCAGAGTAGCACTGGGACACCATGTGCCAGGTTGCAATACCTCTCACTCAAATTTGGCCCAGCCATCCCTCTCTCATGACAGTGGCCAGGCCAAACCTGAGTGGTGTGGTGACTCCATGTGCCAGATCACAATGCCCGGAGCAGAGAGCTAGGCACAACCCCTTGGGACAGGAGCTACCACTGAGGGGTAGATGGGATCACTCTCCAAATATCCCTTCCCTCCACACCAGGTCAGGATTAGGTTGTGGTGCCAAGGCAGAGGTGCTGCTGCAGGTGGTCAGTGCCTTGTAAGTGGCAAAAGGAGCTGGCAGAGAATGACACTGGCCTATGATTCCTCCCCCCAAGTTTGGACATTGTGTGGGTTTAAAAACATAATGCAGTTGGTGGGTCACCTTTGTAAAAAGTTGGGGAACGCCTCCTTATGATTCTATTCCACAGCCAAGCACAGGTCACCATCAGGGAGGTTTTCAAGACTTTTATTTTTTTCTAATTTCATGTTATTAGATCTAGTAATATTTCTGTACACCAACCAATCTTCTGCTCCACTGGGCATTTACACCATTTGACTATGTATTGCTACGTGTCCCGCTCAACCCTGAAATTTAACCAAGCTATATTTAAGCTCTTTTAAAAACAGACTCACCCTCACAACTCAATCCCATTAGACCCCCAATCAATGTAGTTGTTCTTTTCCTAACACCCTCCAATTTATCAATATCTTTCTTGTAGTGCAGAGATCAGAACTAAATGAAATACAGTACACGCCTGTTTATCCAAACAGCCTCTGGGACATCCAAAACTTTTGGATAACCAGGTGTTCAGATAAACAGAAGTGCTATTAACTAACATAGGGCTATATGGGGGACACACTGGATTCAGATAACTGGGAGTTTTAGATTACTGGAAGAGTGCTGTATAGAAAAGGAATATCAGCTCCTTTCCTAATTTTACAATGCCAAGGCTTAGGGGGAAATATCCAGTGGGGAAAGGAACTAGGGGGATTCCAATGGGGAGATTTTGAGGAGGAAGAGAGAAAGATGTCATCTAAGGATGTTACAATGACACAAAATTAAGCCTCTCCAAACCCACAGGAGGTACATAAACACCACACCCTTTTTATACAATGGTGAACTGTGGTACAGAAACAGTGACATGTCCAAGGTCAGGCAAGTCACTGTTGGTCAGAAATGTAACTGAGTGTCAGAAAGGAGAGGAAGGGAATTGAATGTTTAGGGCATTGAATTCTCTTTCTGTGTGGCCTTAGTTAAGTCATTTAGCCTCTCTGTGCCTCAGCTCTCCATCTGTAAAATGGGGATAATAGCACTGCTCTACCTCACAGAGTTGTGAGGATAAATAAAGATTGTGAGGTGCCTGGATACTATGGTGACAGGTCATTAGCTGTAAGGATGAGATAGCTCATATTCATTTACCAGGGTTCATTTTTGGTATAACCAGGCCAAACTAATTTGGGATCACACCCATGTGTGCTCAACTCTAATATTACCATCCGATGAAGTGAGCTGTAGCTCACGAAAGCTTATGCTCAAATAAATTGGTTAGTCTCTAAGGTGCCACAAGTCCTCCTTTTCCATTAGCCTAAGGGTTGCTCTAACACTAGGAACTTACATCAGCATAGCTATGTTTCTCAGGGGTCTGAAAAATCCACACCAAAGACATAGCAGCTGTACCAGCCTAACCCCGATGTAGACAGTACTACATTGATAGAAGAGTTCTTCTGTTGTCATAGCTACCGCCTCTCAGGGAGGTGGATTACCTACACCAATGGGCATCAGTAGTGTCCACACTGAAACGCTAGAGCAACGCTGCAGCTGTGCTGCTGTAGTGTTTCAAGTGTAGAAAAGCCCTTAGGTAGGCATGCCCAATGCTGAAAACCTGCGTTCAGACAATGACAGCACTTTCCAGTCTACTATAGGCCCAGAACTTCAGCTTCAAAGATCTCGAAGACAAATGGAAAATTTAAGTGGTTCTAGGAGGTCAATGCTGCAACACAGGATTTCATGTTTATTGTCTCTCAGTGCCTTCAGACCAGATTTGTTCATATTATTTTTTAAGTAGAAATATATTTTAACTATTTCTGTGCAAACTCAAGACCGATATTAGCACACAAGACCAATATTTTTTCAAGTATGCATGAAAAAACTGCACATGCACTTTTAGGAACAAAATGCCTGATCTGTATTGATATGCATACCCAACTCACAGCTGTGCATATTTAAAATTTGAATTATCTGATCATTGGGCGTTTGTTTATTTTGTAAAAAATAAAAAATGCAAAAATAAAAAAAATGCAAACACTTAAGTTTGACCTTCAAACCAGTTGACAATTTCCCTTCAGCTAGCACAGTGATTCTCAATTTTTTTTTTTTTTTACTGGTGACCCCTTTCACATAGCAAGCCTCTGAGTGCAATATCCGCTCTCTCTCTCTCTCCACCCCCAATCAATTAAAAATGCTTTTTTATATATTTAACACCATTATTAATGCTGGAGGCAAAGTGGGGCTTGGGGTGGAGGCTGACAGCTCACAACCCCCCATGTAAGAACCTTGCAACCCCCTGAGAGATACCGACCCCCAGTTTGAGAACCCCCTAAGTTAGCAGCACTGAAGCAGTAAGAAACACAGTATGGACCATATCCAGACCTCACTAGAATGAGTAGGGGTTTTGCCACCAAAGTCAATGGGATCAAGATTTGTTCTTTTATACAACTATATAATATGAACCTATCTGTTTCACTATGGCAATGGCTGGAGTTCTGACATAGCTCAGTACTATGACAACTGCATGTTTATGCCTTG